AAACAAAATAATGAAAAGGCTGTCAAGGAACTAGTCATATCAGGCATAGGCCATCATAAACTTTACCTTATTTTGTTCTAATGCAAGATACATTGATCTCACTTTGTCTAGCGTAAGTGATGGACTTTTAAAAGTGTATATCCTCTTCTATAAAGTCATGCCAAGTTCAAACAAAAAAAATATTTGTAAGAGTACGCATGAATATTAGTCCTATATTCATGCCTGAAAAATGTTCAGATACAGAGATAATAGGAGACATAAAAATTTGAATAGACTAGAAAATGGCTCATGGGAAAGAAAGGCAGAAACATGGATGAGTAAAGGTAAAACTGACCAGGGAAAATGGGGGGAGATCTTAACAGGGAGACCCTTAGCAAAGGACAACAATGTCACAAAATCTCATATACAACTGCCTGAAGCCAACAAGGGAAGCTAAGTAGGCAGTGTAACATGAGAGAGAGAGAAGACACTCAAAACATAGGGTTTTTTGATATGTTTTCATCTTCTACTGTCCAGAGGCACAAAAAGGAAATTTTATAGATATATGGATGAAAGATTTAACCTGAAATTGACTAACATGACAAAGTTCTCTCACAAAAACACCTCAAAAGGGGATAATATATATTCCTAGAGAGAGAGAGAGTGTGTATATATATATATATATATATATATACACAAGTATATATATAGTAAGGGGTACTATATATTATATATGCTGTGTATATATATATGTGTGTATATATATATATATATATATACATATACACACCACACCATATGGTAGTACCCCTTACTGCAGAATTAATGAGGAAGCAACATCATGTTAACTCACTTTCATTTCCTGAAGATGAGTTGAATTTTGTTTTTCTCCTATGTTGTCTGTGAGCTCTTTAAAATCCTTCTTTGTTGTTTTCTTGGAACCAGATAAATTTTGCTTTGTACGCAGCACGTAGCTGATAGAGATACTTCTCCCTTTTATCTCAGTAAGGAACAAGGTTCATATTATCGTATAGATTTAGTAGAGAGATGAATAGTTCCAAGTGGAATTAAAGCCAATAATATGTCTCTTTTATGTGCCTTAAGCATATCTTACTGAAACCTGGGTTTCTTCAAGTTTTATTCAACTGCTTTGGGACCAAATGATGGCCAGAGCAGGATGCAAGCTATGCCTAAATTCTAGGCACTGGCAGCCCCATGGTTAAGAGATCAAATAGCCATATTAGTGCCTGCAGTCACTTCTACTATCTTCCCATTTGAGAACAATTCTCACTGAGCTCTTTGCAGTCTCTTTAATTTCAAAAACGGGAAGAAAAGCATGAAAATGGATTTGCTTCAACCTATTTTATAATATTTGGTTTTCTCTGTGCTTCTTATTTTACTTTAGACATCTCCCTTCTGATTGATGAAACAGTGAATAAGGCTTAGGGTACAGGAATGAATGGAAGACATGCACTGGAACATCAGATCCTTGCAAACTGTAAGGCTGATTCTAAAGGAAGGAATGTTGGTTATTACTGTACAGGCTATTTAAAACAAGTAATAATTTTTAATCAAAACTGGAGGAAACCAAAAGGAAAAACATCGTGTGATGCTATGCAGTATAAGTATCTTGAAAAGAACAATTTGTTATGAATAAGGCACATGTGACTGGTAATAATACTTGTAGCAACCTCAACACAGGAACACTGTATTTATTAAATTTAATGAGTAGGGTGTCTCTGCAAGTATTAGTATGAGTCCTGCTTTTCATCTACCTATATTATTCTCTGTCATTTTTTCTCTAACAGAGTAAATAAACTATGTCAGTGTTGAAAGGGTAGCTCATAAAAAAAAAAAATGAAGAAACTAACTATTTTTAACTGTCAATGAGGCAGCTTCATAGCCTACAGAAGTATACTCATGCAGTACAATACATTCCTGTGATAGATTTCTATGTCCAATCCTCCTGCAGTATCATGCGTGTCACAAACTTAAGGAAAATGGTTGTTCAGTGTTTTGAAAGATAGCCATTGACTGTAAATTATAACAAAGTGAAGATTTTAAAGATTTCTTTGGAAAAACCCAGCTCTCTCAATAGCTTATTACAGTGCCATTTAAGACAAATTTGGGAATTTGTTAGTAAGAACAGGACCACCACTGCTCTAAAGAGATAGCAAAGAAGATAGCAAAGTAAATGGCTCATATCAAAGCATGGGAAGATCCTTGTTAAGGAGGACCAAAGTCCTGCCACTCTCAGCAAGGCTAGCATACACTAGTTTGAAAGCAAAGGTACTGAACCAGCCATGTTTTTACTGACTTCATTTTTACTAGAAGTGCTGAACTTGTACCCAAAGGTAAGGAATTCTTCTCTATGGAAGTAATAAAAATTGAGACATTGCAAGCTGACTTTTTGGAAGATAATGGGCTTACGAGCTTCTGCTTAGTTCTCTTTGGGACAAAGAAGGGAATGTGTGGCATAACCACACATTAAACTTAAAACATGGAAAAAAATATTTCTTTATCAAACTGAGTGTGTAATCATAAAAGATAATTCACCATGCTTCAAAGAATGATGATGCAGAATGCACAGCTCTGGAAAATGTAATTTACAGTATAATTAAAGCTTCAGTGACCGGAGCAACTTAACATACTGCCAAAATCAGTATTTTTGAAATACTGAAAAACGCACTGGAAACACAGTTCTGATGGATGCTGCAACTTATAGTAGATTGATGTCCCTCTGTTGGAAGAGAAACGACTCTCAACAGAAAAATTATTCCCTAAAAATTATGCCTCAAAAGTAACAGAAGCAGAAAACCTTAGCTTAGAAGTAGATTCTTTCAACATGCAGGAACAGCTATTGAGCAGAAGGGAAAACCCATCAAATTTAAATTCCTTTTCTTTCCCCACTCCATATTGCTCATCTGTGACTTTCCCATCTGTTTGGAAAATCCCTAAGCCACAAGAACAAATATAGGGCAGTTTACATGGAACTATCTTGAGGGAACCTAGAATCTAGGGCTCCGATTGGAAACAAGAACCCTTTCCATTTAAATTACCTTCAGCAAAGGTTGCATGCTACAATCATACAGGAATCTCTACAGGCGATAGTGTTTATATATATATATATATATATGAACACTATATATGATATATATATATTACACTGAAGGTGAAGCAGTTTTTAAGATAACTTAAACAGCAATCAGAGGTAAGCAAACCTAATCAAGTTACATTTTATTTACACAGTAATGCAAGCAACATGAAAATCAGGTTCTAGATGAGTAACACAATCTCAGGAGTATATAGAGGAACACACTTGGATTTACTCAAATTTTAACAATTCTCATGATTTTTTAGATTATTGCATATTCACGACTTACTTCTAGGAATTCCAATTGCTATGTTGTTAACTGTTCTTCCTGTGCAACTGCTATCATTGATTATTTATTAAGATTTTTCCAGTGAAGTTTTGTCTGCTATCTAGAACTGCATTCGGAGCAGCAAATCATCAGTGAAGCAGCAGGAGGCATGGAGCATCAAGCAGAAATATTTTTTTACTATCCTCTCTGCTCAGCCTTTCTGCAGAAGGAGGGAGGAGTTATGATGGAAACAGAAGCAGGAGAGATGTCATCTCCACAAATACTGTGACAGTATCTTATGTGTGAAGCTCATTTCTAACGTGAATGTGAAACGTATAGGATCATCTCCTCACTAGGGCTAAAAATATATCTGCTCCAGTGGGTGCTTTGAGGGTAATGTCAGAAAGGCAGGCACTTGCTCCACAATAAGCAGTGGTTTTCCTTCTCTCAGACAGAAATCCCTACACTGAGAAATAACTGTGCTGTAGACACAAGATCCAGGAGAAGGAGAGTTCAAGCACCTGCTGTGCCTCTTCCTGGCATTAGATGTCATGTGTTTGGTTTCTCCCCACTCACTGCTGTCTCCCTAATCTTCTGCAGAATGATAATGAAAGACAGATAGCTTCTCAAATGTATTTGGCATGTGCTTCATCATACCAAATACTTCCAAGAAGTCATATATGGGAAGATAGATTTCATAAGAAAAGCCTCTGACTGCAATATTACTCAGAAGGGCAGATGTACACTGATTATGCTTCCCTGTTTTGATATCAGATATTCTTAACCCATTGTTACCTGGAAACTTTAACCAAGTCATCAACAACTTAAATAAATGTAAGGGAGAGGCCACCCTCTGCCAGAACTTAAATATTTACACTTCAAACTCACAAAAAAAATAAAAAAGATCTGAAAACATTATTGTCACATCTGTCAGTGAATCTCCGTCTGTTCATTACGCATACATTATTTCAATCTAAATAACATATTACAGATTTAACAAGTGCAGGAGACAGGGTCATAAGGAAATACTGGAACTGGAGGAACTATTAGGAAATTAGAAAATCCCTAGAAAATTTCACATTTCTGAAGCATCTCTCACAGAGTTGCAACCCTTTAATTTTTCTTTCAGAAGTAGGACATCTGTACTCTAAATCTCTTGAGTTAGCCAATCAATTATGACTTGATTCTAATGCCTATCCATCCTCTCCTTCCTTCTTATCTGATCCAACAGAAGGTTTCATGACAGTATGTGGGTGGAAACCAGAAGAATCTCATGGAGGAATTTACAACATTGAAGGCTTCCAAGAGTGGATATACAATACAATCAGTAACTAGGACTATCTTACTATTTCAGTGCAAAGAACAAGCAAGTATACTTTCTGTCTCTGCAAATGAAGTGTTTTATTAAAAGTAGCACATCAAGCAGATGCAAGTATTAAACATTCTAAGAGACGCGCGTCCGCTTGAAGCAGTTTTGAATACATTTACTGATTCAAATCTTACTATCATAAAAGCCCACCACTCTCTTAGAAATGCTAAATGATCCTTTTATATACATATTGCTTCGAGTCCCTTCGGTTATCATTATTATCCAGTTTTGAGGAGAGCTGTTTTCCATGTTTTGAATTCTCCAGTGTCTATGTAAAAACCATACTGTACCTTAAATATATCTTCACTGTTGGGATTAAACAGCTGGTGTTTCCCAGATCCCAAAATAATAGGGCCAGAAGCTTTGTTTTCTCCATAAACATAAAGGCATACAGTTGCTGTTGTGCCAGCTGCTTCAAAATCCCCAGTGACTACGGTAATCTTCCAGTCTCCTTCTGCAAAGTGGAAAAGTAAAATCAAAACACATCTATAACTGTAACTGATATCTAGCAAGTTATTCAGATTACATAAAGTAATATTTTAGCTCAGGAGCTATAACTAATATATGTCTAAAAAGTTACAGGGCTGGGAGTAGCAATGGAAAGCTGGATAAATTCTGCATCATTCAAACTCGGATAAGGCGTGCAACCTTAGTACGTTGCCAACTACCTCAGTCTTTAAAAGTAGAAATACAAACACAGTGACTGGCAAGATTTCTAGCAGCACCCCTGCCACAGAATAAAACTCGTCTTCCGGAATTTGGTTTATGACAAAAATATATAAACAAGAAATGCAAAAAGAAAGCCTATCAAAATAATCTGCATACAATTCCTTTTCATTTTATGTACGTGTCACATATAGAGCTCTGTTTTCTTGGACTGAGCCAAGACATTGAGACTGGCATGAAGTAAATGATTTTGGAGAACTGAAGATTCTTTGGAGATTCTGAAACTAGAGGACTCTAAAAAATAATTTAATATAAAGCTTTCCTGATATTGAAATTGCTTCTTTGCCCCCCGAAGATGCACACAAGTTATGTAAATATCTGAAAGGAGCTTAATATAAATCTACTTTTAAATAGAATCTTTCATTATTGGAAAAAGCTTTTCTGTGTTTGAAAAGCAGGGGCTGGATGATCTCCACACCTCTTTTGATTTCAGCTGTTGTCTGTGTGAAACAAGTTCCACTTGGTTACTTTAATTTATACTGTGTAAGGCAAACAACAAATGAAATACAAACACACAGTCATCTTACAAAGAAATGCCACAATCTACACTGCAGTTTTTATTAATAAAAAGACAACTGGTAAAACCTGCATGAATTAAATCTGCTGTCTGACAGAAGTATTTATCTTGGGCAAACCCCATTATCTGTTAGCAATTTGCCTCATGAAGATTGATCTGAAGCAATCAACTTTCATCTGTTTTCCAAATTTTTGAGGTCTGGCCAAAACCTCATCCTGAAAAGCGATGGAAAATTTTTAGATACTCATAAAGGAAATGAACCAGCCAATTTCCACTGAAAGCTGTCAGTCTCCTGCATGTAACAAACTCTATTCCTTCTGTGCCTATAGATAATTTTCATCTTCATGACTTTTTCTACCGATCTATTGTTTTAACAAAATAACCAGGATATAAGTACCAGGATACAAAGAGATCAACATCAAATAGAAGGGTAGACAACCTGTATGTACAGGAGGTAGAAACAAAGAGCATAAAGTAGAAGGCTCCTTGCCCCTTTCAAGAGTGCACTTACCAGAAAAGTCAGTCTCTACTGTTTTCAAACACTATAATATCAATTTCTTAAAAATAAAGTGACTTCGGAACATGTGGCTGGAATATAAGGACAACTCAATGTACACATTTATGAAGAACATGTATGAAGCATAGAGGGTAAAATATGACCCTCTACTCCTCCAGTCCAATGAAAAATTCAAAATTCATTCAGAAATAAATGATAATTTTAAAGGAGACAAAATGAATATTGTTTTGGACCTGTTCACTTTTTAATTTGTTGTACCTCAAATTTTTTAATGGCCTTTTCTATTCTGTTAGCCTCTCCAAGTTCCTTATATTGAAAAATACAATGAAATAACTAGAAAGTTCTACAACCTGGAAAACAATTTTGTTTTAGGGAAAAAATAAAATAAAATAAATTAGAAAAAGGAAAAAGGATAAAAATCATATAATCATAATTTGATTTAACAAACAAGAAAAAAAAAGTGAACAAAATTACAGATTACGCACTCCTCCAGTACTCACGGTTTTCTCCTTCAATCTCCCTTCTGGAGTTTCATAACTGAGGAAGTGCCCCATACATCCAAATACAAGGCTATTTGGTGCATACAATTTTGGCTACCCAACCCAGACTGAGGACATTTGCAACAAATGTTTCTATAAAACAGGTGTGTTTTGACAGTGGATAAGTTTTATTAATGACAAAGTTGCCCAAGTCTTCTGGACCAGACAAACACATTTTTCTCAGTAAGTCAGGATGGCAGTGCTATGATCAAAATATCTGTTGCAAATCCAAGCCCATCTCCGCTGGAGAGAAGCCAATTGAATAAATATTTATTTTATTCAATCTCATTATCATCCTTCATTAGTTTTACAGAGCAGTCTTTGCCTGTTACAGATTTTAACATACATCACAGAAGTAAAACTTAAATGAAACAAATCAGAGACTTGTAAATTAAGGAAGCACTAAGGAGACTCATTTAACTGTGTACAGGCAGACCTGTAGGTGCGGACCTTGCAGAAGTGAGGCAGGCAAATCAGGTAAGAAAAAGATTGATGAACAGATTAAAAATGAACACCTTCTAAAAGAGGCATGGAAAGGAACTAGAGAAAGATATTTTTCCTTCAAAGAAAAAGGTTTTAAAGAAGAATAGAATTTGAATACAATTTGTAAAGTAATTGTTAACAGGCTTTATAGTTAAATGACTTTCCATGGAGATGCTATTTAAAACAAATTATTTGGTCTCTCCAAATATCTTGATTGATATAATAAATTATAAATAAATATATTTAAAATTTCTTCTGACAGCTTCTAAATTGTCATTCAACCTGCAGTACTTCTCACAAGTGAGAAAATGTTATGTGTTATTAAGATTCGTAATGTAATCTGCACTGGTTGCAAGGAAGTCAGGTTGACAAAAAAATCAAGCTTAACAAATATGAAATCCCCGCTAAAAGTCAGAAAATCTAAAGCCAGCAGTGAAACCTATGTATAGCCTGGGAGAATAAAAAATAAATTATCTTTCAAGTTTTAAATAAAAGAGCAGAAATTTAAAAAAAAAAAAAAAAAAAAAAAAAAAAGTTTTCAAGAGAACAGAGAGAAAATTAACATCATTGGAAAGAAAAATATCAAGGACAAGAAAAACAAAGTGATTTATTGTTTAAATTAAGATATCAAGTTCAGAGTTTACCAGAATATTGAAACAAACTACTGTAATTAATGTTTTAAAATAAATAAAAACAGCAAGAAACACATAAAGCAGTTAGTTCTGAAACAAGTACTCTACATTAAAGCCAGACTAGAGCATTTACCATTAGCTGCCTCTTGCCTTTTCAGCTGTTGAGTTGTTTGAAATTCTGCCAAAAAAACCCAACAAAAACGCAGTTGGTAAAGGGTCTATTCTTCAACATTAAGTAAAAGACTTGAAAGAAAAGATGAAAAGGACATTTTGTGATTCTAATCTTCATGCCATGAGGATTATCATGAGATAATTTTCCATCTCAATCCTTCACTTACTACATCCTCAAATAATACTTACACCCATCATGCAGCGTAAATACAAACTGTATTCTTCTAGAAATACCAAAAAGAAGCAGCAAAATGGCTAACCCTAATATCTGATGTATAAATTCAGCCTAAAGTTCTTCAGTACAACTTATTTATTGATCACACTTCCATAGAATAAAAACTGAAAACTTACCTTGAGGGTACAGCTCCATTTCTGAATGAATTACACCTTGGGACATAAAAGGAAGCCACCTGAAAATAGCAAAAAAAAAAAAAAAAAAAAACCAACCAATATAATTGCATTACTGGCATCTCACTTTCATAACAAGTATATATGACAGTAAATACAAAAATGTTAGTATTTTATTTGATAGATGTTAAAGTGGGAATTAAGGGTTTGACTCAACAACTGAAATTGTACTTTTGTAAATGTAAGAGCTGCATATGAATGAAATATACCCATGTCCTTTAAGAGATTCTTGTGGCACAACCATAATTATTTGTATAGTTAAAAAGGAGCAGAAAAATATTTCAGTTCTCCAGACTAAGCACCATTTATAATTTGTGTGTATCTATTTCACCATTTCTTAAGTTCAAAGCTCGTTCTTAAAAACAGAGATGGAATCAAATTCTGTGCTTCCTTGTTCTCCCTACCAGCTGAAGACTGACAAATGAGTCTGAAGACTGGATGAAGGTAAATGTTATGCAGGCCTCTTTGCTGGGTTACACTAGGCTATATTATTTTGATTAGATTATTTTGAAAACTTTCTATTCAGAATATGTTACTAACTCTTGTAGTTCCCTCCTGCTTCATAAACAAAGAAACAAACAAAACCTTCAATTTCTACAGAACAAAAATATATTCATTAAGCTTCTGGGCTGCTGGGTTTTATTTACTGGGTCCACTCCCACAGACTCTCCAAGAACAACCGAAATCATTGAGTCTCCTATGAAGGCTCTCTACAATCCAGCATAAGCTGAAGAGAATGAGCGTAGAGAGGCCAAGAGGAAAAAAGAGCTGCCCCCAGAATGCAGAAGAGCTGTATAATTCACTCCAAAGTTGGAGCCTCAGGGCCAAAAGAGCCTCAGTAGACTATAAAGAAGATACAAAGCTTGTATATATTGTTTCTCATTTCCCTAAGCAAAGACAAAATGCCATTCAGCACATGCTCATCCATCCCTTCTGCAGAAGCTCCCCTTGCCTTACTCTCCATACCCAGCCCTCAGTCTCTGTGCAGTTCTGCTGTTTATCAGGTGGTCTACGTGCATCAAAGGCGCAAACCAAAATTTGCCTTTTCAGCAGCTGCTGAGAAGTGGCTCTGTAACAAGTGCTAAATTTCTGAAGCCTTGTCTATCCCTAGACAGTGTCAGACTTCCGTCCCTGGATGCTCCTCCTGCTCTTTCTCACTGCCCCTACCTGACAAGTTCATACCAACAAACAGCATGAAACTGACAGGAACAGAGAGATGTCTGCCACTGCAGGAACAGACTCAAATAATAATAATAATAATAATAATAATAATAATAACCATCAGGAAAGGGATCAGTGCAATGCCAATCAGTGCAATGCCAATGTTCCAGCAATTTTATCTCCAGGAAAAAAAAAAAGAAAAAAAAAAGAAAAAAAAAGAAAGAAATAGAATCCTTAGAACAGAGCTACGGAATTATCACTATTTTCTAAAGGCTTCTTTTGCTGACAAATAAAACCCAAAATAAACTTCAAAACAATCCTATTAAGTTTATTGCTTTTCAGTTGCTTTCTATACATGTTTATTAATCCCCTCTTCTCTAACTTCCTCAAAAGAAACTTCTCAGATAAAATTGCTGTAAAAGCTACAAATGTATTTCTCTGTATTATTGTATCACAGCTAATACTCAGGTGTGAAGAAATCCTGAATGAAGGACACAGGAACTTGTACCTTAAATCACGTAACTATTTGATGGAATTCTGTAAATTTTTCAGGTTCCTTATTTTTGACTTGAAAATTTGCCACTTTGTGTAAGAAGTAGTCCCTAAGAAATAATTTTTGTCTTACTACATGGCAGCTTATCTATACTATTTCTGCTAAAACCTGAGCACAGGTATGATGCATCAGAGAGATTTCTGAAACACAAAGCTGCTCTCCTCCTTGTACAGAGCACAGTATTTCTGCTTTACATTTGGGTCCCACTGCTTTATTTTAATCCTTTTTCAGAGGCAGAGCTTCCTTGTAGAAAAGCTGTGAATTAAAATTTTTCTCTCTCTGCCACTGAATAATTTTTACTGATCAACATCTAGCAGGGTAATTATTGCAGAATTAATATAGCAAAGTGCCTTGGCATGCATTATTCTTAGGCTGTGCTACCCGTGCAAGGACAGATGTTACACTGAGCTGAGAATGAATGCTACTTCTGAATTTCAATTCTGTTTTCTTTCTTATTTAGAAATACATTTTAGTTTAAAATGCATTCTGAAATGTAAGCCACATTCATAGCACTAATTCTTGTATGATGAGGTACATTATATAATCTAGTAAGCATATCACACTGTAATAATTTAATCTTATGAACTGAAGCAGTTTATTCTGAAGCAACACACTTTGTGGATTTTATAAAACTGCAAATTAGTCCAATTCTGTCTTTTCCTGGAAGAAAAATCATATTTAGTATTTCTTATTGGCAAAATATTGTTACTGAAATGATAGACACTCTTGGGAATCTATCCTATATTTAAGATAATTCTTGTAAAAACTACCTTTCACAATTGAAAACATATTCTGAGTTATTCCCATCTTCTCTGACAATGACTTTATCGCAGTACCAATACTGAGACTTTGAATTAGCCTCACAGCGCAACAGCACCTTCTGCAGCTTTCCAAGAGATACAGCTTTCACTTCAAAAGCATTGACCTAGGAGACAGAGGAGAAGAGAGCACTAGATAATTTGCCAACATTAAAACAATCTGGAAGTATCAGCATTTAAAAGCCTGATCCGACTCTTATGATGCCCCAATGGTTTTATAGGTAGTTGAATTGTATCAAAGGGGTTGTACTCTAAAGGTAAATGTCTTTTGGTTACATATCAGACCAAATGAGGAATACAACTAAAAATCAGAATGCAATAATAATCCCAAATTAACTGTGGGTATTTTTCATCCGTCATCTAGCATGCTACCCACAGCTCTGCACTATTATCTCAGTATATCACAGCTTACAACAATTCTTGTTGAAGTAAGAACCCCTTCAGGCAATTATTTCCCTTAATGCTTATTTTAAACGGTCATTTTCATCCTTTGCTCTTTTTGGTCTCATCTCTGCTATTTACATTCTATTTTGCTCAGCAAAACTAGAATCTGATATACCACTTTACCCTTATTAATCTCTTAGACTTGTGCTTACAGTTGACAAAGGTTTTTGTAATAAGAGCATGAAGCTGAGCAAGTGAAAGGTTCTGCTTGAGAATTTTTGTCACAATAAGCAGCATATGGCTTTGTCTCTCAGAATGCAACTGTCCAAATCACATTTCTCAGTAAAAGCAAAATGAAGGAATGAACTACATCAGAAAATTCATATCTGTAAAGTTCTCAGTCCTTGGCAGATGGCAGAATTAACACTGTGCAGCTTCACTTCTCCCTTGTGTATCTGTAATATATGATCACAAGCCATACTTTCTGAAGGATCCCTGCCTCAAATTGTACAAAGGCAGAGCTGCAGCTTTTCAATACTTCTTTTTATCTTCATTATCTTTATGGCTCTATGCATTATTTACAGCAACCACCAAAGAGTCCACTGAAGCAGAACTGATTTCCCTAGTGAATTACTTATAGTACCTAGGTGCTTTCTGCTAACACTGGCATCTATTTTTCCACAAAACATATCTGTGTAATATTTTGTTTTACCTACAGAGTTAAAACATTCACAGCTTTTGGCAGTAACATCTAAGACGCAAATGAGTTTGGGTGCTCAACTGAGAAACAGAGGGGTTAATTTATCAGCATATTTAGCACTTGAAAGAACCTGCTATGTATAGAGCAGAATGCACTTCAAACCTCTGTTACAGCTGTAGCTGCTCTGAAAATTTTAACTGGTTCTGCAGCAAAGCAGATGCATACAGGTAGTGGGCATTTAGGAAAGGTTTTCTTTATTCTCTATGATATTGGGCAAATACCTGTGGTAAGGATTAAAACATATTGTTCAAGTCAGCATTCAGCTACCTTTGACACAAAATGATATATCCCAGTCCCTGCTCTACCTCTCCTCCTTCAATCCACTCTCTTACCCATCCACTTCTACAATATGCAGCACTTTGAACAGCCCCCTCTGACCCATGTATAAAAAACATGGGGAATTTGTTTCCACCTGTATCTCACTATACCTTGATAGAATGTTTTATGTTCACAGGCAGCTCTTCTCATCACTTGGAATTCTTCATTTAATTTTTCTTCCCCGTTGCTTGCCTGTGCTTTTACTCATTCTAATCATTCCTGGATTTGTAAAAATTTTGCTTAGCTATTAGGTATTATTTTGCTAAACCTCTATGATCTGACACTGATGGTAGTGTTCAAGAGGCATCTGGATGAGATAGGAGCTATGAGATATGGTTTAGAAGCTTGTGGTAGTAATGGTGATGGAAGGGCAGTTGGACTAGATGATCTTGCAGGTCCTTTCCAACCTTGTGATTCTATGATTCTATGATCTTTTCTTTATTAGGAATACTTAAAATCAATAAGAGCTACTTAATTATATGTATATGGATGAAAAAATTGTTTCAGACTTACCTTTCCTCTCAAAAATTTCACTGGGATACCAGATTTCTGCAGAAGTCTTTGACCAGAATCTCCTCTTTCTCCAAAGATACACAGATAAACTGGAGAATCTGTGTCAGCTTGCTCCAAGTCACCCGTGTAGACATTAACATGATATAAAATAACTTCCAAATTAACCAAAAGAAAAAAAATGTTAAGTGCAATTACAATTCATTTTACTCACCATTCCAGCTTAATGGAAACAATACTGCTAAGTATGATTTGTAATTACTTTACTGGAATATATTCTCCAGAACTCAATCTGCTTGTTTCCAAGGTTGCTAAGACCACATTTATGGACATATAGCAGATGGAAAATAATTTAGATGACAGTAATACTGAAAACCAAGTAACCAATACATATGGAACCGTGATGTTCACACTTACTTGGATAAATAGGTTTTCCAGCTTCCACTAATGGAAGCTCACAGACAAAATCCCTATCACCATCACTCTTTGACAACCATGTGTTTGCTGGAAAATTCAGAGTTTTCTTGCTCATCAGGTGTTGCAGTGTCACCTAAGGAAGAAACAGATTAACTATGACTCTTTCCAGTGTTTTGCTTCTCCATTGAAAAATGTATTTTCTATATATTTTATTCTACTTCAGAAAAAAATAACATGATGAGTAAAAATGACATACAAAATTGCAGTATGAAAACATTTTTTATTTTAGCTACCACTTTACTACTTTACTCATCACTACGGAGGATCCGTATTCGTATCTCAAATGAAATTGCAGATCATGTTCTTTGTAAATGTCTTGAACTTTAAAGTCAACTTAATATTGGAGCAAACAAATCTAAATAAAAGTTTAAAATTGTAAATAAAATTTATGCCGTAAGGAATGTCAGTTAATGTAAATTCTGTCAGCAGGTCCCCTCTATGCATAACACTGTCTAGAGTACTTCTAATATAGTGAGGCTAAGGCAGACCATGTGTTTGGAAGACATAAAAAGATTAATGCCTTCATATTAAAATGGAAATGGAAGTCATCACCTATTTTCTCTTTACCAAGGTGCAGAAAGATATTTTGAAATATTAAACCAATTCACATTGTATTTGGCTTCTGTAGTGGAACAGGAAAAAAATAAATAAATAAATCACAGTACCAACACCCTCTCTATTCCCAGGAAAAATTTAAATCCTCTAGTTGTTATCTACAGTACATTGTAACTGCTGCTTTACTTAGTTCCTATAACTAAAGCAATTTTTCTTTTTCTTTTGTGGGAGTAGTTTCTGTTGGCATTAGTAGTGCCTACTGCAGTTTTCCATAGGCCTTTACGAGCAAAAGGAAATCAGTAGCAGAAAACTGCCTCTTTTTTAACGTGGATATAGCAGACGTAAGCTTTCTGAACCGTTATGAAAATAAGTATTCACGTTTGCATTCCAATACTTAAGAAATCAGGATAATGTCTTTCCATCATCTTTTTCTACTAAAATATTCAGTAAAAAAACCCACTTTCTTTAATCCAAGGAATCCACGTATTTATTCTAACAAGAAATATTTCTGCAGCAGATTCATAATCTCTAATGTTTATTGGCAGAGCTCCCCCTGCTGATTCATAACAATAGCGAATATTAACTGCTTGGTCAGATAACACAGCTTTCAACATAATGTATTTCAACTTGCATAAATAATGCCAGAGTCACTCTAGGAAATTTAAGCCAAATGTTAAAGAAATATGCTGTAACCACCAGGATGGAAATTAAGATTCCTGCAATTATTTCAGCAACTGAAATGTTTACGCTTACATGGTTATGGTGGGGTTACAGTTAAGGGCTTTGGATGAATGTCAAAGTCTCTTATTACTCTGTAATACTGGATCTCTAAATCAGTCTTTTTTTTAAGATAATTGAAAAGCCAAAGAATAAGATTATGTCTTTTACAGATTCAAAATAAGAAACAGAAGACAAATATTTATCCGCAATTATGAAAGACATCCTGCATGGACGTCAGTGTTTTCAGGAATTAGTATTAATTTAATCTGACAAATGTTCCTATCATAGGAACAGTAGAGCTGGAATAGAAACAGAAAAGAAGAAATAACCCTGAATTCAAAGCAGTGGTTTCTTTTTCCTTGAAAATAATTGTGAATTACATTTGCATCAATTATAATGAGTTTATACTTAAACTTTGATCATTCTTTGCATGCACTTGTCACAAAATAATTGTTGCTCAATCACTGTCAGTTTTTCATAGTTGAATTTATAGCTGTGAAGTAGCTATAGATGCAAACTTCTAGGAGTATAGGTGAACTTGTAGGAAGAGAAACTGCATAAGCCACCTATATACTAAAATTGGAATACACTAAAAGAATAATTGCAAACAAGTTCAGAAGTTCATTTTGGGAGACTGCGTCAGTGCTTCTGTTGTCTCACAAGCAACCAAAGACAAGGCAATAAAAATGTACCACATAAAGCATGTTTTGATTCATGAAGCCATAGCTTCATGAAAAGATGGGCTTTTAGTCCATACAAAAAACTAATGAAGCAGAAAAGGATTTATCATAAAAATCTTACCCTTCGTATGTTCCACTCTGACTGCTTATTCAGTAATTCACCAAGTTCAATTCTTATCTTGTAGATATTCCCAACTCTTTTTAGTTTAACCTGAATTAAAACAAAAATAACACAACATATAACTACCATAAACCATAACGACAAAAATGTAGGCAGCACACATTAATTTTGTGCAGAAGAGGCTACATACTGATTAAGAAAGAACATACCTTGCTATATAACACTGTGTCCAATTAATGACAAAAAGATATTTCAGTCTCTCATACACATGGAAGAAGCAGCAGCCTAGTGGCTAGCATAGGCCTATGTATTTTATGCCTGAAATTGCAGCTGTTCAGTGAATATACTTTGCTCTCATGTTTTCTACCTTTTCTAGTGAATCTTTCATTAGCCTTTCTGACTAATGGCTGTTTGATTATTTTAAGTGTATTACAAAACGTAAATGTACAAGATGACTCAGATGAGTAAGGTAGGAGAGCAAAGGCCACGTATGAATGGCTTTCACTTCTCTAGATAATTTTTGTACTTTTTGTGATCATGCATATTGCTGATAAAGTTAAAAAAAAAAAAAAAAAAAAAAAAAAAAAAAAAGGTAAATCCAAACTGCCTATCACAGGCTTTTGGTAGCCATTTTGCTCCATGAACTGCTGGAACTGTAGAAAAAGCTCATACTCAAAGAGTTTCTTTGGCTATTTCGCACTAAAGATTGAAAAGCACTTTGGTGACATTTGTTGTTTTTTGTCTGAAAGCAATACTGTGAGCGTGATGTAAAAGAATCATAATAGTAGCCCCAGGTGCCAATAGATCCTGCATGCTCGCAATATCGTTATACAGAGCACAGAGCTATAAGAGGCAATATTCATTTTAGAAAAAAGAAACTTGTCCATCTCTTAAGAGCTACAGATTAACATCACGAGTATGTCATTATTCAATGCTGCTTAAGAATTATTCACTAATTAAGAGAACAGGATTCCCCATGGATCAGAATACATAGCCAATGTGCTTAACCAAGTGCAGTGCTCAGTTTTTTATCTTCCTGTCTGTTAATATTGTTGACAGAATTAGTTTCGATTTGTGCCAAGACTGCATTGGAAGAATTGATGAGCACAGAAAAAAAATTACACAAAATGTGAAAATTACAGAAAAATGTGAGAAGTTACAACTTCTGCTTCAGTTATCTGAAGACAGCAATGTGTCACATGCATCTCAGACAGAAAGATTTCAAAACAGGAATATTAGCTCCTTCAATAATTTATTCTCAGCCCATCTAGAAATAATCTTGTCACAGTGAAAGTGGGATTCTTCTTAAACAATATAGTGAAATTCTGTGTTTTAATGACCATGATAACATTTCAGCTATTGGTCTCTCAGCAATAAAACTTCTGGCATTCCAGGTATTTATAGTATGGTGGCTGAAAAATGTCTGTTATCAACTTTAACTGAACCAGTTACATGATAATCCCTTTAAAGTATGCCCGTGAAGACTGTGCACAAGAGCATTTCATCACTAAAGATACCTGAATTATATATAAGTCTTGCATTATATGTGATTTGTTTTGGAGCAGACAGTTTCTAAAGCCAGTTTCAAATCAATGGTCTTAGAGAAATAAATGTCTGAGAGAGGAAATTGAAAGAAAGAATGTCTCCTCCACTGCTAACTATTTGCACTAAGCTGATTTAATGCAGAATACACAGAGATTAGAGAGATTTGTTTTATGTTTAAACAGGAGGGAAATATACTTTTTCTTTTCACATGACAGGATAATCTTTGGAAAGAAACACAGTAAAGTAATGTTCTTAGCCTTCATTAACTACCTGAAATTCATCCTCTTGCCTAGGAAGGAACAACTGCTTTCTGTTCTCCTTGCCAAGAGTTATTGGTCCGTCTGCTCCTCCATCTCCATATATCCAGAGAGTGGCATTTGCTCGAGCTCCTGCACTTCCCGTCAGCACTGACACTTTCCAGTCATCAGATGAAGGAAGGGAACACTCACCAACTTGGGGATTTCTCATTTCTTCTGTGAAATACAGAACATTAAGCAGGAGATGAAAATTGACATGAAACTGCCAGTCACTGCTGTAACATCAGCACATAACCTCAATAATTCTCAATGATCTCTAGAGGTCCCTTCCAACCCCTGCAATTCTGTGATTCTGTGATAAGGAGACCATAACAGAAGAGAGGATTGTATTTTTTCAGTGACAAACGAGGAAAATGTCTTTTTTGGATCAGCTACAAGATTCAACTAGAAAAGAAAAAACCCCTCCCCAATCATAATTAAGCATATAGTGCCAGTGTTTAGGCTAAGGGAGGATCTGTATGAATAAGACAACAGCAGTGCAGTACTACTGAAGAGAAAAAAAACAAACAGAGTTTGCAAACATCAGATGTCTTTTCAGTAATGTCACAACCATAAATTCACCTCTACACACTCCTCTCCATGAACCCTCAATGGAACAAGCAGGTCCTATCTCCCCCAAATTTACAATATGCTCAAACACAGAAGGCGGATTTAATCCCTCAGTTTGCAAAGACAAAAAAAAATCCACTGTGCCTATATACTGTGTCCTGCAAGAGTTCCTAAATGGTTCTTTTTCAAAAAGCTGCAAATAGACTTATTAATGTTCTAAATAAGATGAACCTTATCTGCACTGCAGATTAATTTTCTTTTCATAGGAACCTATAATTTTTTTAATTGGAAGGAACCCTTAAAGATCATTGGGTTCAACTCCCTGCAATGAGCAGGGACACCTACTGCTACATCAGGTTGCTCAGAGTCCCATCCAGCCTGACTTTGAGTGTCTACAGGGATGGGGCATCTACCATATCTCTGGCAGCCTGTTCCACTGCCTCACCTTACTGTAAAGAAAAACTTCTTATACCTAGTCTAAAAGGCTCAGCTCTTTCAGCCTTTTGTATCCCACAGCTCATTTCTCATCCATTAAGTCACGTTTGATGAACCAAGCTTTTAGAGGCCACAGGCTCCAGGTGCATAAAATCACTTAAAATATTGCTGAATTCATAAACTGACACACTGATATTAATTCGTAAAGAATTCCCAATCTATGACAAGCACTACCCAAAATATGTAAAGCACCACTGTGTTATCAAAACCAATAACACCAATCTGAAACACAGCACCAAACTGGCCACTGTGAAGAAAATTAATGTCACTCCAGCCAAATTCAATATAGATACTAAAATAAATAAATAAATAAATAAATAAATAAATAAATAGCAACCTGTGACAAATTTGTAACACTCACTGAGCTGTATCATGTCATCAATGAAGTAAAAGCATGAATACAATGTAAAAAAACTTGTCATGAATCCCTGGGACTACCTTCTTACAAAACTTTTGTGACCAATGAATTCTTTGTCTTCATGGCACGTGTCTTTCAGTAACTATAAAAAAATAGTTGCTTCAATCCATTAAATTTTTTTGACAGTGTGATTTCTTAACATTCTTAGAGCAGCAATACTTTCTCTAACCAGAACTACGTAGTTCTTCATCTGTAACAAAACAAACTGACTTAAGCTATCTGACACCACATCCTACTTGTTTGGGTGATGTGACCCACAAGCACTCCCTAGCAAATGTATTAAAAGATCCAAGAAATGCACAGGTTTTAATAAATATAAGGAAATCCATGCTGCTGTTTATACTTAGTATAAGAATTCCCTTCTTGTGTTGTTGCTGCCCAAAACACCTACTGCAAGCACAAAGTACTGCATCCTGAAAAAAAATTATAATTCACAAACAATTCAGAGATGTTGAATGCTTTACGCCTCATAATTTACTGGCACTTCTTACAAATGGAAATCAGTCACATTGATTTGCTGCAGGCTAAAAATATTCCAATCTGAAAAGAGGATTTGATGGTCTCTGGATTAGTCATGGGATTTTATACACTTCATGGCACCATGATGTAAATTCATTGCGAGAAAAATTCATTCTGATAGTCCTGCATGAAAATTATGCAGAAGTCACAATCCTTCACACAGTTTCATAAAAATTACTTTGATTTTTTATTTACTTATCCTAAATCTAAAGCAAAGCGAGAGTAATTTGGTCCCCAAACATTGTATGATTGAGTGACACTTTTGAAGTGAACCATCAGAAAAATGAATGTCTACAGCAGAAGCTTGTACAATAGACATGATGTATTTTATCGCACTCCTGTGTATCACCACTTCCAATGTAAACCTAAAGGAAATTAGATCAGACTTTACTTGTATATTACTTAGCTTTATAAATAAAATGTGTTAAAAAACTGATAGTAACTAATAATATTCCAGACATATGGGAAAGCAACGTGCAATGTACAGAAATTGTTTCTTGGAAATACAGTTTATTAATACTGAATCACAACATTTTTCTCCATGTTACAAACTGTGCCTACTTTTTGCTAGCTAATGGCATCAATCTCCTTACTTTGACTTGTAGATGCAGATATGTTTTTGCTATTCAAATTTCAACATGATTTCAGAAACATAAGGAACAAAGAAATGTGTCCTCATTGCACTCTACAACTTCCTGAAGGGAGGTTGTGGTGAAGAGGGATTTGGCCTCTTCTCCCAGTCAACGAGCAGGACACGGGGAAATGGCCGCAAGTTGTATCAGAGGAGGTTTAGATTAGACATAAGGAAGGACTTTTTCTCTCAGAGAGTGGTCAGGCACTGGAATGGCTGCCCAGGGAGGTGCTGGAGTCACCGTCTCTGGCAGTGTTCAAGAGGCGTCTGGATGAGGAGCTGTGTGATGTGGTTTAGTGCTTGTGGTGGCAATGGTGATGAGGAGACGGTTGGACTGGATGATCTTATAGGTCATTTCCAACCTTGTGATTCTATGATTCTAAGTAGAAATCCTCAGTACCATTTCATGCTTACTGACTGATACAGAAGTTGACACAAGTATCAGTAAGTCTGTTGATTTTTGTTTTATTTTGTTTCAGATAACAGAAGATTTAAAAATCCTTGGTTTGAGATATTCTTGTCTTCCGATTCAGTTTCTTTGTCTCTATTCATTCTATGATCCTCTAACTATGTATATATATATTCTTTCCCTTCTAGCTCATGCAGAACATTCGACCTTAAGTCTATAACATGGTCTCATGCATTTTTGCTGACATATCTCTGACAGTCACTGTAATTCTCCATTCTGTGAGCTATTAAGTAGATGTTGAAACCTGACATCACCTGACTTCTGTGGCAGAAATGACTCAAGGAACAAAGAATTCACATTACAACAGAAATACCTAGTGTTGTAGCAGTTTTCACTGGGGGGGGCAGCCCTGCCCACATCATGGAGTTGGAAAAGGGTAGACTTTAATGACCCTTCCAACCCAAACCATTCTATGATTCAGTGTTTCTATTCTTCTATGACTAATCCCAAACCAATTATTATTTGTGAAATTAACAACCAAAAGATATATATTGGCTAGTAGATGCAGTAGACGGCTAATCTGTTCTGAGTTCAAATACTAAGTCTGCTGAACTGTATACTAACTCCAAACATCACTTTTTTTCTAATATGAACTCTGTTTTAAAAAAAGCAAGGGAGTATTTAATAAATATCCATTAAAAATAGAACTTGGAATATCGAAGATCAGATATCTTTTAAAGTAACCTAAGTGAGAATCTCTTACTCAGTGTATTTTCTTTGAATGTCAGAGTACCTGATATTTCTGTCCCTTTTCTGTAAGCAAAGACCAGACATAGAAATGTCAGAAATACTTCGAAGTGCTAATAGTGCTTACTTAACCAACTTTATGGAGATATTGTCTCTATAAAGGAATCATTTGTATCCACTCCAAAAAATATCCTACTCCTTTGAAATCAGGCTTGATGATTTGTAAGCTGTTGCCATGGCTTTGAAATGCACAGTATATCACTATACTTGCCAACAACCCACAACAATTTGGGTAGACTTTGTAACACAGTAATATAACATGAGGACTGATAGATTTGAAACAGAAAGTGACCATTTTAAGCTAAGAATGGAAACACTGACAGAAAAAAAAAGTAACAGTAATTAATAATATTCCACACCTATGTTTTGAATTCAAGCAGAATGTTTTGTTCCAACTGAATTTATTTAAAATCCTCTCCAATATTATACCTTATGTATGATTATACCATTGGCATCTGCTTCACAAACAAACAAACTTGTTGGGAACACTTTGAAATTGCAATCTGAACATTAATTAACTATTCTTACCTGCTTAGCTAGAGATAAACCAAACTAGCATTCAACACATTGAAGCCTTACTCATTCTCCTACTGAATTATAAAGCAGAAAATCTGAGAAAAATATTCCATGACTTTCCAAAAGCTTTGGATTGGGCTCTTGGTGATATCAGCCTCTTAAATTCCACAGAAGCAGTCCTTGCCATAGATGGTTACATATTCAAAAAATACCAATGTGAAATTATTCAACAGATAAATTATAATCACTGCCTAATCAATGAACCACCTTTCAATGCCCCTTTTAAAAGAAAATAATTATTTTTATGTTGTATGTATGTATGCATAGGTCAAAACTCTAAAAAAGCCATACATTTCCCTTCTTCAGATAAGTAACTGCAAATATGCATGGGAGGCAGACATGCTTTAATGTTGTACCAGAACTGATTTGTTGACTGTTTCTTACCTGAGGGTGGAAAAACCAAAGGTCTTTGAGATGTTTGCCACTGGGCTTTTGCTGGCGAGCATTCAGATTCTCTGAAGTCTTTCTTCTCTTGAGTGGTTTCTACAGGAGTTCCTGTGGGATTTTCCCAGCCAACTGAAACAATCAAATGTTTCAGTTATTAGAAATTAGTAATCAGAAATTACAGAAATTTACGAATCATTTGCTACTTTTTTTATTTTTTCCCCCCTCAAAAGCTTTCCATATGTCCATATGTGACAAACACTAATACTAGACCTACTGATAATTCAAGACGATGGATACCAAAATCTTTTCTCTATGTATCACACAGCTACTAGTAATAGGCTTTTGTTGTTAGCAACATCACAAAAAGTAGAGAATAAATATGATGTACCAATAAATATCCATTTTAGTGCTTTGAAAAATCTAAGTAGCAGTTTAACACCAAGGCATGAATGAAATGACCTGCTCAAATGTGGTTCTCCACAAGATCAGCTTCTTCACGGTATTTCCTTTCTTAAAGAGTAGGAATGCTGAAATGAAAACTGCTAGAGGCCATTTCTGATAATATGAACTAGCAAACAGACAAATCTTTCTTGCTTTGATAGAAAACAATAACTACTGTTTTCCTCCTTTTATTGGGTAACAAGAATTCAGGAGAACTCCAGCCTGTAACAAGGTAACAGTTCACTTTATTTTAACAGCATCAGTAAGCCCTGCTTTTTTGAGAATTTCCATTGAAAACCATGCTCTTCCCAAAAGGCTGCAAAGAAAAAAAAAAAAAAACTTTGCTTTAGTCTATAAGGACACAGAGACTGAAATACTCTCAGCACCTTGCCGCAAGCAGGGACTGAAAGGTAGCAATGCCATCACAGTGACTTTGAAAATACTTCCGTATGTCTTGGTGACAAAATAAATGAAACAGAATTAAAGACATGAAACAAAAGTAACAGGGTCTGTGTTTTCATATTTTCCCTTCGTGGATTGAAGCCCTCAAGTTGAGTCTGTTCTTCATTTGTCTGACAAAAACCTGACAGAATTCTTAATTTTCAACTGATGGCCACTTTAGCATTGCCATTAGTTGTTGCATTTCTTGTTCTCTCTATGTCCTTTAGATAAGACTGCAGATAAAGTTTTATTTTCTACAACAATGATCCCAGCCAGCTGGCTCCAAGTCCCTCACCAAATTAAAAACTTGATTCTCCAAAAGGTGGTGAGACAAGCAAACAGTGATCCAGGGATTTCCAGCAAGATACTCTCACCTCCACTGCAACCCTTAAGTGAGGTTTGGGAAGGGGTAGACCCTGGCTCATCCATTCCAGTCACTCAGGGGCATTGCATGCACCTGAACTTCTCTGGATTGGCCCTGCCTTCCCACCAGGTGCTCAATCAGAGGTTCAGACCGTGACTTAGCATTTCTGCTACATATGCCCTCTCTAAATTTTAGAGCTTTCCCTATAAAATAGGAAAGTATGGTGTATCTGAAAGCAAGATAGTATCTCCCCAGATTCTAGAATCTGTAGCCAGAATGGGGAATAGACCAAGGAGTCAACTCCATGTCTATCCTGTCATCTGTTTTGATTCTCATGCTCCAAAATTTATTTGTTTAGTTAAAAAAAAATAATAATAAAAAAAAATTCTTCAGCACCCTTTATTTTTATTAAAGGAAAAAAATAGAGCAAAATTAACTAACTACCCTGGACAAACTGTGTGATAAAACTTCTCGCTTTTAAAATTACTAAAAACAACAAGGCAAAAGCAAATGATCTTAGGTGTTTTTGTTTTGAACTTTGTCTGTCAGAAACACTAGTCACTTAGGCAAACTGCAATATTAAGAAATCACATACATTTGATGACCTGCGGGTAGAAAAAAGTGTTGCTCTCTCCAATGTTAATGACTGGCTTGGTCTGACCATCTGGAAGGAGACCAACGTATATCCCTTTACTCCGCACTGATTCCAGACTTACAGATCCAGCCTCCCAATTCTTCTCAATTTTAAAGTGACAGTATTCATCACCCGTGCCCTAAGAAATTGAAAACAGAAATCTGAAATCAACAATTGCACTGATGTATCTAGGTAAGCTGAATGTTTCTTAAGACTTATATATTACTATTTTCTAGTGACATTTCAGATTAACTTTAGGGTCTTCATAATGTGCTACATTATTACCCAAATCTTGGTTCTGTGTAGTCCTCCATGACAAAAAGGCCAATCAATAATATGAGCAAATGAAAAAAAGTATTCTGAATCATGTTAGGGTTTAGGCAAAGTCCAGGATATATTCAGAGAAATTCCCATTTACTAAACCTTTAGAAGGTTAAGGAATGTGAAAACATTTTTTTATCTTCATTTCACAACACTTATAGCATCAATTTCAATGTCTTAGTCAACCAAAACCTCAGTAGTAGTAGTACTCCAATGATCTGGTGCTCTAACAGTGATAAGTGAATACATTTGTGGATTTAAAAGCACTGTGCACACGAATGTAGTAGCCACTGTAACAAACAGCATTTGGATTCAACTACTTATCAGAATACAACAACTTTCTTGTGGCCAATAGCCAGAAACAGACTACAAAAATCCCAGTTTAACATGTCTCAGAGAGAAGAGCACCCGGTCACATGTTGTAATTTTAACCTTAAAATACAGTAACTGCTCAAAATAAACATCCAGACTGTACATGAAAGATTATTTTCTATCCTGTGGTGAGGGTGCTGCTAAAAAAGCAAGACATTCAGAAAGCCTGCATTCAAAATAAGGATAAATTTTTATTTTTCTTTAAATCTCTGATCAGAGTATATTGATAGCAAGAGCAAAACTGTTGAGGATCTCAGCTCTGATTCTATGTCATACACAATTGAGTTAAACTCTCAGATAAAAATCATGAGTAGGTCTGTGAATTTTAGTTCATTTGAACAGAACTACATTGCAAAAGTCAATTCAGCATAAAATTCCTTACATTTTAATTATTCATTAGTCCTTTTTTTATCATCAATCTATTTAGATTTAATACCAGTTTAAATCCCTGAACATGTTTGTATTCCACATTCCAAACAATTACATCAGTTCTTATCAGGAAACTGACAAAGAATTAGCAAACAACAAGTTTAATGATCAAATAATAATGTTTATAATGTTTATTTTTTTCTTTCTCTTTTTTTTTTTTTTCATCCCCTCAGGTGTAAAAATTCCTTGATTAAATTCCAATCAGATGAAGAATATGGGTCTAAGAATATTTCAACCATATTCTCCAAACATATTTTTTTTCCTGCATATAAAAGCTGCTCATAAATGACGAAGTATTTCAGAAAGAAACTCTGCATGGCTGGTTGATAAAGAAAAAAAATCATGTTCTTCATTTTGGACAAAATAGAATTCAGTAAAAGCTGGGATGCCAACATGGCTCCAACATCTTCTGAAACAGGTACGTACCAGTAGAACTGTAGTTGTTTAAAATCTCAAATTAATGCAACAGAATCTTGACACAGAATCATCTGACAAATAAATTTTAACTATATACACATGATCATATTTTAAAATATTGAGTAATTTTTATAAATAAGTGCCAAATAGGTGTGACAGCCTGTCTTGCTATATTCCCCTGTCTTTCCTTGAGAAATGAAGGAAATGTCCTGAAAAACCTTAAATCCAGACAATACTTTCATCAAATTTTTATCCAAGCAATACAAAGAAGATTTTCTCCTGTCACTGACAATCTACTCAAATTATCTGCAGATGGAAATACAAACAAGAAGTGCTTACTGTTCCATTACACTGGCCATCTTTGATCTTCAGGTACTTTCCTGGGTTACTCACACTCTCAAACATGCAGACTCCAGAACCAATTTTATGCACCCTCCAGTAGGATTCCTGTTGCTGCTGACCTGCTCCACTGCAGCCCCCATCAGATCTGAGAGTCAGAGCCTGGCAACGATTTGTGTTGAGCAGAATGATGGCACCATGGTGAAATACACCCTTCAAATGAAAGATAATAAGTCCTTTGTCAATAGTGCAGCTTTCCTTCATGCTAGTCTTTGATATTGATACTGTTCATACTGACTTATTTTAAGTACTTACATATTTCCCATGCATAAATGAATTTCGAAAGTAATTAGAGTATGCACCCAGCTTCCTTCTGTGCAGACACCAATCTGAACAGCAGAAACTTCTCACTATCCATCATCTTCCCTACTCTTTATCACTTAGTAGCACAGAACAACATTCAGAGCTCAAGCAGTGTGGCAAGCTAAGGAACTTGTTTTCCTTTAAAATTGAATAGCTTCCCATGCAGCTATCTTGTATGTACCCACACTCCTATTTCTCGAAGGTTTAGTAAACATTTTAGACAGATTTTTATTTCTCTAAATTGAAGCCCTTCTTATTTGCATATACCAGCTACTATCACCATTGTTTGCCCAAGAAGGGCAGAAAATGAAAATTTCAATCTATTAAATTGTGGCTTTAATCCATCTGGTGGAGGAGGATCATTCTTTCAGCTTATACTTCTCAGATTAGATATGACCTACTTCAAAATAGTATTTTAGAAAATTCTACTCTTCTACTGAAAATTCTACAATTTTAGAAAAGTCTACTTAATTTATCTCCCCAAACCTTACCTTGACATGCACAACAAATTCCTTGGAAATTCCAGCATATCCTGTTTTTTCATCAGCTACTTTGCCTTGAAGATTGAACATTACAGTGTGACCTGGGTTCCTCGCTGACTCGAGAATGGCACAACCATTTGGTTGAAGGTGAATGCAGAGCTCACAGGAAGACTTGTCTTTGCTCTAACATTGACGAAGGAGGAATAATAAATTATATTAACTGTTAGACATAGCAAAATCCAAAACAGAGAGTATCATGACATGGTTTCTGTACTCCTTGATTTTCCATGATTCTACCAGAAGGCAAATTTCTCCATATTTCCCAGATTTGCAGTCTTAATACTGAAGTTCTAAAATGTTATATTTCTAAGCACAGAAACAGTTCATCTTAAAATGAAACAAATCTGAGAATAACCTGAAAGATACCAGAGTACCTCAACTGCAAGAGTCAAGTTGCAGCTGACAAACCTGGCAAAGAAGAATGGAATTTAAAACTGACACAGATCAAAAATGACCTTTCTGCTACTCTTATTTGCATGATGGTGGCAAATAGTGATTGTCCTTGGTAGTTTATGTTCGTTTCAAGAAAACAAAGAGTCAGAGGTTTATACAAAAGTACAAAGCATCACAATATTCATGTCTGTCTATTCAGATTTGCAGACTTTGTCTGTACTTCACTGTATGAAAGACAATATACAAAACAAGTGTTTAAACAAATCAACTCCATCATCATTTACATATTTAAGAAAACTACTTTTTTAATAAATGTAAAGTGATAGTAATCAGCTCAAACTCTTAAAACTTAAAAGTCCTCTGGCTTACATAATCTCATATTTTTTTCAAACATCAGAACATATTGGGTGACAAATGGATATACTCTTTCTTATCACTACACTTCCTGACAAGAGGTAATGGCTTAAAACTAACAGAAGGTAGGTTTAGATTAGACCTTAGGAAGGAACTCTTCACCAAGAGAGGCCCTGGCACAGAGAAACTGTGGTGCCCCATCCCTGGAGGTATTCAAGGCCACACTGGATGGAGCCCTGAGCAGCTTAGCTGGTAGAGGGCAGCCTTGCCCACAGCAGGTGTGGGTGGAATTAAATGATCAAGGTCAGCTCCAGCCCAAATAATTTTATGGTTCTCTATGACTCTCTGATTCAATATTATTAAGACTTCAAAGAATCACACTTTCAAAAAAAAAAAAAAAAAATTCATTTGCAAGGCATTTCCTTCTGAAAAAAAGCTTCATACTCAAAAAACCTGCCTATCAACTTTAATCTACTTTCAAAAGTAAAGGACAAACTGGCTGGATTTTTGAAGTGATTGTTAAAGAATTGAGCTAGCTTGCCCCTCAAAAATGTAATTAAATGTGTACTTTAAGGTCAACTGTAATTTTTGTATTGACATTTTGCTTTACATTTACCTGCTGGCATTTCAAGGACCTCAAAAGTTTTCACATAACAACAGTTCTCATATTATCTGAGAAGATAAGTCATGCAAGACTGAAAACAAGAAAATAGACACCCAGATTTTCAATAGGCTGTTCAAACTCGTAAAATACTCATTAGAGAGAGAGAGAGAGAGAGAGAAGGCTTAAATTTAAGTGTCCAATTAATACTCTTTTTGTAGTAAGACATATTATAATATGACAGACTGCAAGGTGTTCCCTGTATGGAATTACAGTAATGAACATGAGCACTAGAAAGTCCTGCAAGGAGGTCTGACAGTTCGCTTGGCAGGCTGATGCTGCTCCCACTGAGAGATCTAGCTCTACTGAGAGTACTTTATTCCCTCTAATACTATTTCACATAATGTAAGAAAAGAACAGGACCAAGTTTGCCCATGAGATTATTCTCTGAATAAATAATAATAATTAAAAAACACCTCCTTTCTTTAACAGAAAAAAAGTTTCATCAGAAAGTACTTAATTCTACAGCTTACTTGCATACTCCAAGTGCTGAGAAAGAAAGACAACAGTATGACTAAGAACCAGTGTGAATCAAAATAAATCTGGAATCCTTCAGCTGATTTATGACAGGCAGGTTACATAAAAAGACAAAAAAAAAAAAAAAAAAGACAAACCACAATGACAATTAAAATCAGTATTAGAATTGATACTTATCCAAAAAGAGGCAATGTTAGGGTATTCCAGGTACCTCGGCAGTATATAGTAGGCTGACATAATATAAACTGGCGTGGAATGATTCTTTATTCCTGCACTAAGTTATGTATGCTATTAAAAGTTCTACCAAGAAGTAAAAAGTAAACTGTGAGAAAAGAGAGAAGGCCCTAAATTTGCCTATCTATTGACAATTTCCTGAGTTCAGTTATGCACTTTCTAGATCCTTAACTGCCTAAAAGCATGATTATGTATTAGGCAGAATAAAAACAGCACTGTTTTTAATCAGACAATGAAATGTTATTATGAAGCAGAAACCAGAAGCAGTATTTCCTACCTTTCCAGTTGCATAGCCATTGACAAGAGCGAGAGCAAGATGTGGTATCTGATGACTTCTGAATACAGAAATATTTCCTTTTTTGACAATTACATTGAAAAGTCCTTAGAATTAAATGAAAAAAAAAAATAAATAAAAGGTTGGAGCATGAAAGTATATTCTTTCATATTTTTGTTTATTTACAACCAATCATGTATCATTTTCAATTGTATTAACTCAACAGTTTGACCTTGCTGATCAATGAATCCCCCTCCTCATTCCTTTAGGAGAGGGTGCCTGGAGACAACTATCTAATTTTCTGTCTCAAGGAAAAAGTTCTAGAAGTTAATGACAAGGAAAAAATGCCTCTTGGGGAGCATACATGCTTAAAAAAATCTGTAAAAAGGAGTTGGGATCTATGATGTATTTAACCACACCATGCTATGGCAATGAATGACTTGGTAAATAACAAATCATGCAAGTAACATGAAGCTGTCAGGTAGGAGAGCAGAATTTTTTTTTTTATATATGTATTCATACTAGATTTTTTAAAGCAAACCTTGAAGAATAGCTCACGGCTTTGAAAATTTCAAATCTGATCAGTATTACGAAGAATTATCTTATAGCTAAGAAATACTGATGAAAACTAAAGCTGTGCCAATTTTAGTGTTCCCAGCAGCAACAGATGATTTTTTTAAATCGATGTACCACGACATTATGCTGCCCAATCTGCACACTGCAGCTGTCTCTGGAGGACTCCTGTGGTATCCATGACATAAGATTTTCAGGTTCTCATCAGGATAATTGGGATTATATAGTCAGTGATCACTGTGCTCTGGGAATGATGTCGCAAGTTATATGACATAGATGGGTTTTCCAGCCCTTTGGGCAAGAGATGGAGGACTCATAACAATCACAAATGAGTTTTCCACTTTACAATAGAGATAAAGCTCCCTAAGAAATTAAAAAACACTAGAACAAATCTCCACCTATGAATTTTTCCTTCAATGCTTTTTATGCTATTATATTATACTTCTTTAGATGTGCTAAAGACAAATAAGCAGTTTTACCAGTATTTGAAACACATTTTTTTTTTTTTTTTATTTGAAAAGAGAAGTAGATAGCTTAGATTGGAAGACATTATTCCAAAGCATACAAAAAGAAGCAGGGATCCTAAATGAAAATTTCAACAATGGTTCCCAAGACAGCATGTATGGATTTCTGTTGCACATGACCAATCTAGCCACTCTGTTGCCTACTGCACATTTAAGTAACTCAAATAAATCTGAAAGAAATTGCCAGAGAAAGATCTTATTCTGGAGTAAGAAGGCTGACATGATAAGTGCTTGTATCCATTTTGTACTAGTATTGATTCTGTACTCTGAACTATAAAAATGGGAACATAGGGTGACAGTGTCTGCTCTTCTGACTTCCCATCTAGATTAATTGATAGTTTAGATAGAAAGATATCAGTTTGGTTTTGATCTAATTGTCTTTCACATATATTTAATTATTTCAATGATACTGATTATATTTGAAAGTTGTGTAACAGACTTGATATTTGCACAGTTTTACACACTGATGTATATCCAGCAGGTGAAACTGAACTAGAACAGTATGGAATGCAATAAATATCTCACACATTTATGTCTGAAAATGCAGACATAATGAAAAAAGAATTTATAAAAGGGGATGAAACAGCCTGGAGTACAAACTTGAACTCCACACATTAGGAGACTGTGAACTCTGTGGCATTCTGTGAAATCAAATCTGGCACGAAACAACACTTGAAGACATAGCATTAAAAAGCAACAAAGGTGAATTAGAAAAATTACAAATTACTACGAGCAGACAGTATGGTCTGTCACCAGGTAACCCACATTTTGTGATCCTAAATGGAGCTTCCAAAAGAAAGGACACTCCTCCTTTCTGTTGCCAGTATTGTATTTTCAAATATTTCAGACATTCTCTAATACTAAAGGTACAGAGAGAAGATTTGAGTTAGTCAGCGTTTGAATCACCAGTGTTTGAACTAAAGGACCAAAACTGGTAACAAAAGGAGTTTTGCTATAATATAGTAAAAGCCACTTCCAATGTAGCTTTTTTGAGGTGCTTCCACAGGTTATGTTAAGGAGTATTCCCCTGCTCTCCATGTAATCTTTGGTGTGTCCTGCAGGATTCTGTGCTACCACTTACAAAAAGATGTATGTAAAGTCCCTAGGAAGATGTGAGAAAGGCCAAGCAACTCCATCAGTACAAAGATCAAAAAATGCATGCCTAATATGAAACTAGCTCTAATAAGTTTTAGTAACATGTAAGGTAGAAACTGATAAAGAGAAAGAACAGGAAGAGTGCCATTACAGTCGATGACAAGGATGGAAACAAAAGGAGATGTGTGTGTATATATATGTGCATAATTGTGTGTACATATATATACACATAATATACACACACATATATATACACAAGTAATATACATATACAACATATATATACCCTCTACGAATAAAATATACCTGGAAAGCTTAACTTGTTAGCTTGGATGGATCTATTTACAATAGATTATGTCTGTCTTTGCCTGACATTTTGTGGGATTGCTCAAACTGCAGATGACTGAAAGTTTATATTTTGTAAGGGAGAGACAGTGGCAAGAAAACATATCAGATTTTTTCATGCTTTATATTAAAGCAAAGTATATTACTTGTGTCTTAGAGTGTACGTAAATGTTCTAAGGAAGAAAATTTTGTATTATATCGACAGGAATCAAACACAAGGCACAGTGAAATATGAAGTCCCCTTTTCCTTATCTTTATGCATACACCCACATGAAAAATACTTTACCATATTTATTCTTCTTGTCACCAAGAGCATCAACGCTGCTGTCTGGATAGAGACATATGAAACCATGGGTGAGCCTGTTGTAAAGCTGAAGTTTATTGCCTTCCTGAAATTTCCACTTTTGAGCAGCCCACTGGTTTTATAAACAACAAGCAGAAAAGACTTATGAGAAGATGATATACAAGAGTTTGACATACTTGAGAACAACTGATATAGTTTCACTCAAAGTACAATTAGAATTCTCTAAATAAAAATAAAAGTAATTCCTTACAGTTTCCTCTCTCTTCATCTCCAGCTCTTTCCCTATATAGATAAAAAACATATGATTAATTTACAAAGCATCCTCATTCCATTTGACACAGTTGTTGTGAGCCTGGGTCCTCCTCCCCACCGCTTTTCACTTACTTCCTGGAAATGTGCTGGCATCTGTCACAGTCAGTCCTCTCGCAATGTTGCCATCGTCCTGCCCATTGTCCAGCCATCTGAAAAACAGAACACTTTTCAGTAAAATCACTATGACAGGCAACTTCTACAATACTGTATACATGGTATTTGAATATTGGTATTGAATTTTGATGTTGTTGTTCCATTTCTTTTTTGATTAAACAGAAAGAGATAGAAGGGCTTAAGGCAGTTAATACAGATTAGAGCTGTCATATTGATCTCACCAATAATCAAAGTCGCAGTGATCAAAATGCTTTCTCGTCCTGTCTGCAAGAAGGCTACATCAGGGTGTGAACCGTTACATGTTCCACACACAGACAACACCCTTATCACATCTGAACCATGCTTTTACAATGCTATTGTACTACATTTGAGCCTGAATGTACACACATTATAGGAGCAGCATCAGCAAGAATAGCATCAAGCTCTAACAATAACTAGCACATACTCTGTATTTTTCTGCCTGAAATGGGTTTGAACTCTCCCTAAATTATGTATGAAACTAGCGTTATAGATCTCCTCATAGCAGTTTATCTCATCTAGAACACAGAATAAAAATTAGGTCAGGCAAAGATGAGGTGCTGTGTCTGATAGGCAGAAAGCCCTTACTCACACACAGATCAGCTTCAGTATGCACATCATTCACTCTGAGCTGTCTCAGGCACTTATTTATTCACTTGGAGAAGTGAGAAAAGAAAAATAGAATTGAGGTGCCACTGGCAAGCTGTAGCTAGACTCACACAACTGGATTGTACCATTGTTAGTATTTGCACTTTATCATTTATAATTATTCCATAAGGTGTTGGGACTTCACCGGGAGCACATAAAATCAGAAATAAGCTAGCTACAGAGCGGAAGACTCAGAGCAGTACAGAGCAGTAGTACCTGCAGAGCAAAAGGCAGGGAAGATAGGATTGCTTCAAGATATACTGCAACCCAAGGCTGCAAGGCAAATAAGAAAAAGGTGTGCTGAGATCCACAAGATCTCCAAGTTCACAAATTCCCAGGCAAGCCTCTGCTGAGAAAGCTTTCCACCTCACAGTGCAGAAGAATGCATCCAAAGGTGTAAGACCCAAATTACTCAGTACAAAGAATATGCCAAAAAAGCATCTCTTACATAGTTCACTAGGTAAAAGAGTGAAATGTTCCAAGGCAGAATTTTTTATTGCTTTTTTCATCAACTGAAACACACCAGAGGTTTGGGACAGGTGCAACTCAGAGAGCTATGAGAAGAATCTAATAATTACAGTTCATTTTTTCAGGAAAAGTGTTTCATCTGAAAGTACATCTCAGAAGAAAATCTATGGGCAATTAGAAATGTATTAAAAATCAAATACCACTAACCTGTGGCAAAGAAAAGTATAATCCAGATCTGTTACAGGATCCTTGATTACAACTTTGTCCAGATACCATCCATTTCCTTATATTTAAAGAAAAAAATTAAAAGTTAATTAATGAAAGGCCGATTTAGTGGAGTCTGATTTCCTATGGCTTTCTCTCTTCACAAGTTGGGAGTTAGGAAAAATTTCTTCTCCAAAAGAGTGGTTGGGTCCTGGAATGAGCTGCCCAGTGAGTCATGATCTATGGAGGCGTTCAAGAAATATTTAGGTGCTGTACCAAGACACGGTGTAGTAGGTAAATACTGGTAATAGGTGGATAGTTGGACTTCGAGGTTTTTTCCAACTTTGGTAGTTCTATGATTGATTGATTCTATGATTGATTCTACTGAAACTGAAAAATCTGCAGCTCCATTCTATAGTCAAGGCTGCACTTACAGGGAGGACTAAAGATTTTACATGCTGTAAGTACTGTAGAACTTGGAGGTGGGCCAGCAAAGGTGCTAGCTCTCTACCTGGCCATTGTGGCTCTAAGATCACATCTCCCCTCATTTACTCATTGTATTAAACTATTTTGCTTTACTGATTGAAATATCACCAAGATTAGATGGCAGCTTATCACAATACTAGCATTTCATCTGCTTTTTAAATAATAAATTCTAGAATCAGTGGCTTATAATTAGCTTCATGAGAAGCCTCAGTTTGCCCAAGTTTTCAAAAACGTCATTCAAATGAGCCCAGAACAAAGGGGGTGGTAAGCTGGATCCTTAAAGTAGAAGGCTGATAATCAAGGGCAGATTTTCACTGAGAAATTCATACTACATGGCACTGGGGGTGAAGAATAAAAGCAAGACCTTCTTCATGTGAAGATTTTCCTCAAAGTTGTTTTCCTTTCTAGACATACGTAATCTTACGAACAAGAACTCCCAAGAATCTCTAGGGATTTTCTATTAATCATCTTATTCAAAAGGAAACCCTTATTCATTAATTGCACTCTACGTCAGTTAGCAGCCACAAAAAGTGACAAAGCAAGTAAACAAAATCTGCAACAATTCTTCATCTAGAAGTAGGGCAGCGAAGAGTGCTGCTAAGAGAAAACCTTGTCTTTATTTCTTCATTCTCAGAGGTATCTGAGCACTGCCTCTGATTAGAGGCACCCAGCTGTGGGCACTCCCGGAAAAAGACTAAAAACAATGTGATGTTTCTGAAACAAATGGAAGAAAAAGCTTAGATGTTCTATCTGTAAATATGGGAAGAGTGGACCATGACTGTGCATAAGAGAGAAATTCAGGTAGAGAACTATCCTACAACACATTTTACATTGCCTCCACAGCTCTGATACGTGGCTCAAAAAATGTGCTGTGTTGTACAATATTTAGGCAAAAGATTTTACAAAACAAATCCTGTGACTGCAAGCACTTTGATTTTTATTATTATTATTATTTGTCTAATGGCCAGATACTGTAAACAAAAAATCCAATTGCATCTTTAGGATCTAACTGGTAATACTAAAAGAATATTAGGCTATTTTACTATAACTTCGATTGTATGAGATACATTCAGTGTCTCAAGCAGACACTCCTCATCTTTACACTTTTTGATTAGGATTAGTCAAAAACTGCAAGAGCAGTTGTTGATGGTATACTTAACATAATACATGACAGAATACTGAAAGTGAAAACAAAATATCTGATATTCATATAAGAAGGTCACTTGAAAAGTGCCATTAGAAGTCTCTCACTTTGTCTCTCACTTCCGGAACATTGTCATACATTCTATTTTATGTATTTTGTTTCTATGAAAAGGTGAATAACTTCACAGGTAATATTCAGGGACTAAGTAGAGATAATTCTGACCTGATCCAAGACCGTTGTGTCCTATAACAATCTTGTACAAATGGCCAAGGTGCACAGCTTCCACAAGAAAGATGTCAGTCTGTAATCAATCAACATATTTTCAGTAAGATCTGAAAAGCAAAACACTCTTCAGCCACAGAATCTAATGTCCTACTTAAGCCCAGAAAACTCTTCATTCAAAGACACCCTTTGAAATATCATCTAATGACAATTCCAGAATAAATCAGGGACAGTTTTCCTGAAACAAAATAAATAAGGTTTATCACTTTGTTAATGGGAGCATTCCACTCAGATGAATGGGATGAGAGTCAGAATAAAAACCTGTTCAATGCTTAATTTGGAATAAATTTTTACAAGCTGCAATAGATTTCAATGCTAGGAATGCAGACATAAAATGTAAAGTTTAATTTTCTCTTAATTTGTTAAATCAACTTAAATTGAATTACTTGACAATCCTTGAGGTTCCTTCCAAACCAAGCCACTCTATGATTCTATGATAAAGGAATTAAATATTAAATATGAAAGAGCACAGTTTATCTATTTTATAAATGAGAATTCTGCTCATCTTTCAAAACCACTGATGTACCATTAGAAAGTAATCTTGGCTTAATTGTGGAATTTTGAAATAACATAGGAATGCAGTAATTATCTCCCATAATTGCAGCATTACTGCCCACTGGAGAGGGAAAAACTGGACAAACACATCAGAAAAAGCTCTTGTACTCACTTGTCCTTTCAAAAATTTCTTGGGTTTCTGTGACCTGACCAGTTGTCTTGATCCTGTGTCACCTTTTTCTCCGTAGATAGAAATATACACATCAGCTTCAGTTCCAGCATTCCACAGATCTCCTGTTGTCACATGCACTTCATAGACAGTCACTGACAATAGAAGTTGACAACTTTTCATATTAAACATTATTATATTTAGAATAGCATCTAACTGCAAATGTGCCTGTAGACTTCAAATACATTTGTGTCAAGGGCAGTTAGACCGTAAAACCTTCAAAATCCTATTCAAGTAAAATAATGAAAAAAATGTATAAACTTGCTTTGATGTTATATTTATGAGGGCTTTTTTGTTTGCTTGGGTTTGTTGTTGTTTGTTTGTTTTTAAATCCCAGTACACAAAAAGAACTTCAAAATGCACAATAGTATGATTTTGTCCTGCTGCAGCATCTGAAATCATCACCAAGCTGAAAAGTAAATAGCCAAAGCCCAAGATCAGGCTTACCATAAGCAGTGGCATCAAACTATAGGAAGCGGCAGGATACATTAACATTTTGAATGCATTGGTTTGACAAACAAACAAAAATCCAGCACCAAAATTTTACTTTTCTCGGACCTCAGAATTCAGAAAGATGTATAGATTTAATAGTTTATGCTTCCTGCAAAAGGTTAATACAGACTTCCTCTATGACATTCCATACAGAAATTCTTTAAAGTCTGTAGATATGTGAGAAAAAAAAAAAAATGGGAGTAAGTTTAATAAAGAGACTATTTAAAAGAAATAAATAACCCAAATACAAAAAGACAAAATAACACTTGAGTCTCAATCCCACAGATTTGGAATAAAGACTATGACACATTAAATGCGTATATCAATAGAAATCAGTGATTTTTAGAATGTGGATATTAGAACTCCAGAAAACTTAAATAAAAGCATGTAATGATAATCCTTAACAGAAACAAAGGAAGGGCAAAGTTTATGCCAACATATAGTGACAATATTAACTAGACTAAATGAAATAGAGAGAATGAAATGAGGAGAGAACAAACTCATATTCTGGAACACAAGCTCTTCCTCCTGATACAGGTGTCCTTGTGCTATTTTGCCTTACGGGAAGAAAAATCTTTCTAGGCAATTGGATCCAGACAACAAAATCATTAACAGCACTCAATTATCAGTTCCCAGTTCCAATATGTGAAGAATTTTTCCTACAATTCACCTGAAGGAGGTCACTCCCACATCTCACTGCTGATGGACAAACACTTTCTTTCAATAAGCAGTAGGCATTTATTCATAATAAGTCCTTACCTGCAATTATTTACAGCTTTTCCCTCAATGCTTGTTTTAGGTGTTCTTTCTTTTTTTTTTTATGACTATCTCACAATTATTCACATGGCACTTGTGCTTAGCTGACTACACAAGCTGACTTAAAATAATTTAGCCTTGATAAAGGTACCAATCTAGCTAAAACAGTAGACTCTCTTCACAGATGGTGTTTACGTGCCCACACAGAGATGTGTGGTACAGGATTAACTTGCTTCTAGTATCAGAACTAAATGCTTAGAAATACTCACAAGGTACATCTGCATTCCTTTGGAGTATTGTTCTATAGATATATATTATTAATAAACCCAGGGTAGAAGTTTAAAATAGCTAAAATAGCTAAATAAAAAAATGCAAGGAAAGGAATGTTCACAATTTTTCGCACTCCTCTTTAACTCTCATAAACCTGGGGAGAATCCCTGATTTTAATAAGCATAAGTATTTATAGTTCTTATATCCTAAGACATAGATAGGTGACTCACCTTTCTTTTAGACATTTCACAGAACAGTGTGCAGAATGGAGATTAAGAAAAAGGAATTGTATTCTTTGCACATACTTTTGCCTATAATTGCAAAAAATTAAATGCATAAACGTGGTAGTCTGAAATTAGAGAATTTCGGGAATAAGATTATTTGCAAAACTTATTCTTTCCCCTATACTTATGAATAAGGAAAGACAGAACAAAGAGGTAGAATACTTTCCTCACTACAGATCAACTATTATCATTCGGACAAAAGCTAGCCACATTTAGGCCACAGAAGCTTTTGACAGTCTTCAACAGCAGAGTCATGTACTATTTTTTTCCAGAGTACACCTACTTCAAATGTTTGAGTATCAACAACTGGCACTTAATGTTGCCTTTTATCTTCATCTTTCACCATGTCACCACCCAATCTCATTACTTCTCCAAATTTTTCCTTGCAGTACCCACATGAACTGGTTCCCCATTTTCTGGAGAAGTACAAAAGAGAATTTGCTTCTCCAGATCAACAATCCTCCCCAGTCCTGCAACTTCTTCAAGCATAAATAATCTGCTGTACAGTATCTACTTCAAGAAAAGCAGAGGATTGCCAGTCACCAAACACTGTAACTCTGATTTACCCCTTTCAAGTAGTTCATATAATCAAAGGTTGTGTCAGAAGACATAATCAGAAGGGAAAAAAAAGTAGGATGGGTGAGGATAAAATGTCAAACAAATGGTGGTCAGTCACTCAGAATTAGAGTCGTGATGTCACTATGTAATACTTCTTAACAGCTTAATTCAGATGTTTTCTCTTTGAACACAAAACTGTTAAATCAGAAAGTGCTTCAGCCTCTTTTTATTCAGAAATTGGTTTTAAAGGGCCTCTCATCATCTCTCTTTCAGCCTGAATCCATACCTCTTCCCTTGTTCTGTTATCAAACTATCTTCCCTGAAGTTAAAAGCCGTTTTCTCTTTTCACTGTCTTATGCAGATATATAATATTGGCAAAAAGACACAGAGGCTGTCTTTCAATTACTAAGCTAGAGATGAAACTCTCTTCTCCAAAGCCTTCAGCATGACCCTTCTTATACTGAGAAAATGCATGGTCCTTTTCTTCTTTTCCTGTGTGAGAGAAATTATTAACTGCAAAATGCAGATTGAGAGGATGGGTTTAAGTATGCTGTTGTGCATTATAATGCATCAAAAGTACATGATAATGAAAATCTTTCATTAGATCTTTCTTTCAGAAACAATGGAACAACTTCCTCAGAAAGTAAGACTCAAAAATTGTAAGATGAAAAAGGCCAAGGTCTCTGAGTATTAAGTAAGGGAACAGTAGGAAAGAACAAATATTGCATGTAGGGAAGCTGAGCATATTCAATTTAACATTTTAATCAATGTTAATTAACATGTATTTAAAAGATTGGTGTTTTGTATTGATTGATGTGTTTGTATGTCCCTCTACTAATAATATCAAATTCTCCCAAAGAAATCAAACCTGAGGACAAAGGATGACTGCATCAGAGGCTTTTCATGCCTTCAAAGATATGAAAATCATAACCACTCAGGATCACAGATTAGTGTATTTAGGTCTGCCCAGCACCACTCTACTGTATTTCATGAAACATTTACAGCTACTAACTAGATCACGGGGGGAACCTTTCCTTCTATTCTTTTTCTCTTAAAGACATATTAATGAGGCACAGACCTTTTCTTCTGGTCTTCTTTCCAGGGTCTTAATCTCCATGATCAGCCATCACAAGTATAAGTGGAGCTTCAAGTCACCTAGCCCTTTATTACTAGAGTTACTGTTGAAAGGTATGTTTGCCAATATTCATCTGCCATTTTCTGGACTTCTGCCCCTCTATTTCATTTATAGCCTCTTCCTCTGTTCTGCAATCCAACAGCAACGGCTGTTACCATTTCAATTCTTCATGATCAATAAAAGGTACTGTAATATCACCAGAAACTGATAAAGTATTAAACACTCTGGTAAGAAAAAAAGGGGGTGCAGAGGGAGGAGAGAGGGAGGGGTTCCACAGTTTTTGGATAACTCTGAATGAGGGTTTCTCTCATCCAATAGTCCTTCAGATCTTCAGCTGATCTGATCTTTTGGTAAGGGAGGAGTGGAGGGCCCAGAGCATGTCTCGTGTGAACCTTTCTCAAGTGAAAGCTTCAGCACAAGTAATATCGATGATGGTATAAGTTTTCCATCTTCACACGCTACGGGATCGTCATCTGCCCTCACATTCTTGATCTCTCACCCATACCCCTCATAGGATACACCAATCTTGTTCTTCTCTTGTACTTTCTTTAAGAAAGAGCAATGCCAGATGAAGTGATGGGAAGAGAAAGCACAGACTTCTTCTATACCCTTACCACCACTGAAGAAAAGAAAAAATAGAAACAACCAGCATGGGTAACAAGGATTAGTGTGGTAGAACAGAGCATTCAAGCAGTGTAAATAGCAGCAATGCTGGATAATTCTGATAGTGTTTCCCATCATTGACATTCAGAATTACGGTACAATCATGATGTTAGTATATCAGTGATGGAGTTTTTTATATGTAATTTTCTGGAATATTACTTTGTTCCAAACCCCAAAATTATAAATATTCTGGAAACCTGTCTCAGCTATTTTTATGAAAGAAAATAAAGCAGTGTCTAAAATAGTCATAGTAGAGCTAAAATTCTCATTTACTGAAAGTAGAGTCTTTGACTTTACTCACAATGACCTTATGACAATTGTTTCTTTTGTTTAAAAAACTTTTGTTTTTTTTAAAATAAAAATATAAACCAATAACTGTGAGATATCTTTACTATTGCCACTATTTTAAAGCACAGATGCTTAAAATTCTGTCAAATCATTAATCTTTCTGAAGGATCTGTCAAATCAAAGCAGTAAAGACTCTCCTAACTCTTCTCTGGTGATTCTTAACCTTTTATCTGACCGTACCCAATAACCACAAGAAAACAGCACAGAAAACATATGACTCCAAAAAAAAAAGTGATAGAGGGACTGATGGAAAGAAATGACAATCTCTAGCAGCATCTTCTTGTGGTCTGACTTAGCTGATGTGGTATTGTGCTTACCTGGAAGAACAGGCTGACCCTGATGTAATACAGGAAGCTCCACAGATATCTCTCCATCAGCCTGGTCCCAGGCCAGCCATCGATTTACAGGGAAAGAAAACTGCTCCCCTGAAAAAAGATTCAGCAACTGCACCTAAAGCAGAAAAAGAAACTGCAATTTAAGTTACTGATCTGAGTCCAGATAGACAGAATAGAATTTGACAGCTGTAGAATGCTGCTGAAACCTGTGCAGATTAAGCTCTGTGCCATGATCACAAAAGCACACATTTGGGACACGTCTGCCCCCTTGATACAGCTGCACCCAATTTGACTTTTCACTCAATCAAATTCAGGAAGACAGGGCAGAGTAACTAAAGCATAGACAAGAAACAGGGTTTATCTGCTCAGGTGTAGTTTGACAAAATCCAGCCTTGTTGCTGCAGTTGATATATCCAGGTAGGCAGGCACTAAGTGGCATAGCTTAACTGATGGGGAAGTTCTCACTGGGAAGTTCAGCAATGCTTGCTAATCTATTCCTTTTGTTTAATTTACTGTTAAAACAAGAATTAAAGGAAGAGGTTACGATCCTTCAAAACTACTTCTGACATAAGTAGTCTTTGAAAGTGCTGGACCCAGTTCTAGTCTGCCCCATAAAACTTTCTTCCATATCCAACTTCCAGTACTCAGCAGTAAAAGGACCACATGCACTTCAGCTAAAGAATCAAAGGAGATCCAGTTATTATGTACTTCAAAGCATACTGTGGTAAGAATCTCATTGACTGTTATGTAGTAAAATAGTCTCTGATTATGCTAATTTATACTAGCAGCTAAATTATAATTTCAGACTGCTGAGAGAAGAAAAACTGCTTCTACCTGTAGCTTCATTCCTGCTTCATGCTTTGTAGAGCCCAATCTTTTTAATTAGAATATTGAATTAATTCTGTATTATCTGAAACACTTTAATTATTTTTGCTTGCTTTAATACTAAAGTTAAAGAAATAAATTCATGCTATCTGAAAACCTTGGTACGCTTCATCCTGTCAATATCTGCTGAGGAATCTTGAAAGGGAACCTGGAGTTAATGAAGCAGTATCATGATCATTTGCAGTCCTGAAACCATCTCAATACAGATACAGTTGAAGAAACCATGGGATACTGAAGGGGAAGTAACATGCCTAACTAACCATAAAAATTCTGCTGTTATAGATTACTCAATTTCAGATCTTCTAGAAAAAATATATATTTCTTAAAGAACAATAACGTGAGCGTCTGGCCATCCATTCTGTATTTTGTTTCATCCATTCTGTATTTTTGAAGTCTAAAAATGAGTAGTTGTACTCCTTTGGCTCTCTACCTAACAAAATCCTAGTTTACTTGTAGAATGCATTTATTTGAATGCATTTCTTTTTTACTATGTGCCTGAAATTACTAAGACAGAATGATCTAACCCTGGATGACCCACTGCTGTCTTAAAACTGTAGCAGACTGGCAGAGGTTCAGTAAGAACACAAAAAAAAATTTATAAGCCAAGAATTTATGGAACATGGTAAAGTACTTGGCTCCTTCCTTCTTTTAAAATTTTACTGTTGATTTCAATTAATATTTCCTAGCTGGGAAGGGAGAAAAGTGAAAAATATGCTTTTTATTCTTTCAATTTTTGTCAGCATTCCTTAACATCTCATTTTAAATGGATTTGTCATACAGTGTTATGCATATACATATCATATTATATATATATATATATATGTACTACATATCATCTATATATCATATTATACATATACACAATATATATATACAATATACATACACAATCTACGTATATTATACACAGACCATACTTTGGCTTCTAACTGAGTTTCAGCCCCAAATGAAAACAACTGATTAAAACACCAAACAATCACAGAGTTCAAAACAGTGAATATTTAACATTAATGGGCATTCTGTATTAGACAGATGTAAATTAGCCCTGAAGCATGATTATAATGCTGAGTTTATCAGAAGCTTCTAAAGTTCTTTATCAACTGCTTTTTCCTAACTGAAGGATGAGAAACTCTGGCACAAACAGAGAAAAGTTTCAGGCATGGATAGCCTATCATTGGCACACATAGTACATGACTAACATCAAGGATAAAATCCAGATAGTTTCATTCCCATCCAATTACCTATGTATTGTGTGTAACAACTGAAACTACGAACAGAACTTGCTGATTCACTTCACTTTATAGAATCACAGAATCATTAAAGTTGGAAAGATTATCTAGTTAGAAAGATCAGCTAGTTCAACCATCCACCTATTCCCAGTGTTGCCTACTAAACCGTGTCCCTGAGTACCACATCTCCACGTTTCTTTAAAACCTCCAGGGACAGTGACTCAACCACCTTCCTGGGCAGATTGTTCCAGTGCTTCAACACTCTTTCAGAGAAGAAATTTTTCATCATATCCAACCAGAAGGCATTCCTCCTTGTCACTTCACTGTTACCCAGGAGAAGAGGCAGATTGTCACCTCCCCACAACCTCCTTTCCTGGAGCTGTAGAGAGTGATAAGGTGCCCCCTCCTCTCCTTCATACTGATCAATCCCAGTTCTTCAGTCACTTCCCATAAGGCTTGTGCTCCAGTCCCCCCTCACCTGCTTCACTGCCCTTCTCTGGACACATTCTGTGGCCTCAATGTCTTTGTTGTAAGGAGGGGCTCAAAACTGAACACAGTACTCAAGGTATGGCCTCACCAGAGCTGAGTACAAGGGGATAATCACTTCCCTGAACCTGCCAGCAATACTGACACAAACTAGGATGCCATTGGCCCTCTTGACCACCAGGGCACACTGCTGGCTCATGTTCAGCCAAGCGTCAACCAACATCCACAGGACCATTTCTTCCACAGTCTTTCAACCACTCTGCCCCAAGCAGACACCTGGGGCTGTTACGGCCAAAATGCAGGACACAGCACTTGGTCCTGTTGAACTTCATCCCACTGGCCTCGCTTGTCCAGATCCCTCAGCAGGGCCTTATACCACCAGGCAGATCAACCCTTCTTCCCAGCTTGGTGTCATCTGCAAACTTACTGAGGGTGTGCCCAATGCCCTGATGATCCAAATCATCAATAAAGAGAATAAATAGAACAGGCCTTAATACCGACCCCTGGGGAGCACCAGTCATGACCAGTCGCCAGCTGGATTTAATTCCATTCACTGCCCCTCTTTGGGCCCAGCCATCCAACCAGTTCTTTACCCACAAAGAGTATACCTGTCCAAGCCACAGGCAGACAGCTTCACCAGGAGAATACTGTGGGAGACAGTGTCAAAGACTTTGCTGAAGTCTAGGTAGTCTATACCAAATAGCTTTTCCCTCATCCACCAGGCAGATCATTCAATCATAGGAGGAGATCGGGTTCGTCAAGCAGGAGCTGCCTTTCATTAACCCATCCTGGTTTCTAATTTTCTCGCTGCATATCCTAGCAACTTTGCTTTGCCTGCTTTGAGATCTTTTTTAAGTCAGGAGGGAAAATAATCTGTCATTATCTTTGTTTCAGAGTCACAGAATTATAAACACTTGCAATGTAGCTCTGACGCTGTACATAACAACATGGAGTCAGTTGCAGATTTGAAGAGTTGGCAAGATTGAGTTCAGTGACTTCCTAGGTTTCAACAAACTCTGGTCACTCTGTAGCACACAAAGGCTACAGTAGACTCAGACTACAGTAGAGCAATTCTTTGTTTTCCTTACTGTTCATTCATGCACTTTTAAAGAAATATACTATATAGTTCTCACTAAACAGCAATCAAGCAAAGATGACAGATTGCCTCTCATTCTTCATAAAAAAAAAAACACTCCACAATAAATAACCTCTTAAACAAAGCTACAAGTATTTGTTGAGGCTATCATACTTCTCCAGAATCACAGAATCACAGAATTGTAGGGGTTGGAAGGGACCTCCTGAGATCATCGAGTCCAACCCCCCTGCCAAAGCAGGTTCCCTACACCAGGTAGCACAGGTAGGCATCCAGGCAGGTCTTGAACATCTCCAGAGAAGGAGACTCCACCACCTCCCTGGGCAGCCTGTTCCAGTGCTCCGTCACCTCACTGTAAAGAAGTTCTTGCACACATTTGTGCGGAACTTCCTATGCTGCAGTTTCCAGCCGTTTCCCCTTGTCCTGTCTCCACTCACCACTGAAAACAGGCTGGCCTCGCCATTCTGCCCCCCACACCTTAGATATTTATAGACCTGGATCAGGTCCCCTCTCAGTCTCCTTTTCTCAAGGCTGAACAGACCCAGTTCACTCAGCCTTTCTTCATAGGAGAGATGCTCCAGGCCCTTCACCATCTTCGTGGCCCTCCGCTGGACTCTTTCCAAGAGATCCCGGTCTTTTTTGTACTGGAGAGCCCAGAACTGGACGCAGTACTCCAGATGAGGTCTTACCAGGGCAGAGTAGAGGGGGAGGATCACCTCCTTTGACCTGCTGGACACGCTCTTTTTAATGCACCCCAGTAAGCCATTGGCCTTTTTGGCCACAAGGGCACACTGCTGGCTCATGGCCAACCTGTCATCCACAAAGAAGAAATTTTCCAACTCATATTTTGACACTATTGTCATAGTGACTGCTTTTGGAAGGATAAAATTCTTTCTCGCTTCTTTTACCTCTTCACAGTGCCAGGCAGGGCAACTTCCTGCATTAGTATGTCCAATGCGTATTTTGTAGAGACGTCCTATGTTTCCTGTATGAATCTGTAAAAGGAACGCCACTGATGAAATACAGTACATTGCTTAAAAGAGATACAACAAAAACTCATTTAGTAACTATGAGTAAAATTTTAGTTTAGATGAATTAACTACTCTGATATTTAAACTAGTGATTCCAAAATATTTTGCTCCAGAGTATTATTGGATGCTTGCTCATTTAAAGAAAAATCAAATGACAAATCCTGTGGCCTGCTAGCCCCATCTAAATGATTCAAGATGCTGCTGCAGCTATTTTGTTTCCCAGTGTATACTGGTCTCAGTGGAAGAGGAATACAGATTGTAGGCATCACTAACAACTATAGCTTGACCCTAATGGATGTCTCAGTTTAGCATCTGTACCACTGACCTACTGAAAAATGAATTCTGTATCCCTGGCACCTCCCACTACCTCTGAGTTCTCCCTGCCCCTCTCAGATGGCATACTTTACAATTTTGGAACAATTGTGTTCATCTTTGACATTTCTTCTTACAAATGGCTTCAATTAAATCAACTTTAAAAGCTGTATTTGAAAGATTAGCTCTTGGGCAGGCTGGATGAGTACATCCAGTACAGATAATAGGGTGCTGAGGGAATCACTTTATGTGAAGGTTATACAAACAAGTAGTCATGAACTTAAGTGTGGAGTTAGAAAGCTTATCTTCAAGGTGCTGGAAATATACCATGAGTGCCTCTCGTCATTGCTGCATACTTTTTTTTTTTATGATGTAATCTGATTTGCTGTCCTTTTGACACTTTCTACAGAATTCATTTCCATGTTTTCATTTATGATATAAAGATGGGTGTGAACCAAATTCTCTGCATTGTGAATACAGAGTGACCGTAATTAACTTGGATTTAGCACAAAAAGCAAGCAAAGAGGCTTGACTCCTATGCATTTTAAAGTACACCCTCCTTAATTGTATTCAGTGCGATGGAAATTCACGTAAGAGGTGAATTCGAGTTTCCAAACCAGGGACTGTCTCCACATCTTGTATTTAAGAGTCATTCAGGATTAAATGAATGGCAGTAGTGGGAGCAGTAAGCAGAGCTTCGTCATTTCTTATGAAGACAGTATTTTTAACCCTGGTTACTTATTTTATCTATTCCTTTCAATCTTGTTTCAGTTCTGTTTTTATATCACACATGGAGAATGGCACAAATATTAGAGGTGCTGGATTCTCCTTAGAAAGCTCATCAGCTGACGAGAACTAAGAACTTAATTTCCTGCATCCCAGACAGATCCCAGACAGAATAGTACTTGCTATCCTGGATGCTAAGGATGGAAATAGTTATTTGTTACATGGTTTTATAGCAGATACCTGCTAGACTTGACATTGACAGTCTCACATATACAATTAAACTCTGCAGTTCTTGATAACATACCCTATTTGGGCTTATTTAAGTCACCAAGGAACAAGACTGATAGAGGAGGAATTTACATGTGTAACTGGGAGCTGTTAATTGAAATCAGACAGCAAAGATTTAACAAAGTTAAAAATTTATTCCATCCCCTAATTCTCCACTTGTTTCATTTTTAATATTGTTCTCAGGTTTTTTGGGCACTGTATAAACTAATCAGTACTTCTTAAGCAGACAAGAAATCATAGAATCATAGAATCACTAAGGTTGGAAAAGACCTAAAAGATCACCCAGTCCAACCGTTCACCTATTCCCAATAGCTCCCACTAAACCATGTCCCTCAACACAACATCCAGTCTTTCCTTGAACACCCCCAGGGTCGGTGACTCCACCACCTCCCTGGGCAGTCCATTCCAGTGCCTGACCACCCTTTCTGAAAAGTAATACTTCCTCATGTCCAGCCTGAATCTCCCCTGCCGTAGCTTGAAACCATTCCCCCTGGTCCTATCACTAATGACACGAGAGAAGAGGCCGACCCCCAGCTCACTACAACCTCCCTTCAGGAAGTTATAGAGAGCAATAAGGTCTCCCCTGAGCCTCCTCTTCTCCAGGCTGAACATTCCCAGCTCCTTCAGCCTCTCCTCATATGGCCTGTGTTCCAGACCCCTCACCAGCTTTGTTGCCCTTCTTTGAACACGTTCCAGGGCCTCGATATCTTTCTTGCAGTGAGGGGCCCAAAACTGGACACAGTACTCCAGGTGCGGCCTCACTAGTGCTGAATATAGGGGAACAATCACCTCTCTGCTACTGCTTGCAACACTGTTTCTGATGCAAGCCAGGATGCCATTGGCCTTCTTGGCCACCTGGGCACACTGTCGGCTCATGTTCAGCCGAGCATCAATCAATACCCCCAGGTCCACTTCCTCTACGCAGTCCTCCAGCCACACCGCCCCAAGCCTGTAGCGTCGCCTGGGGTTGTTGTGGCCGAAGTGCAGGACCCGGCATTTGGCCTTGTTGAAACTCATCCCATTGGCTCCAGCCCAGCTCTCCAGCCTGTCCAGATCCCTCTGTAGGGCCTCGCTACCCCCAGGCAGATCCACACTTCCAGCCAATTTGGTGTCATCTGCGAATTTACTGAGGGTGCACTCGATGCCCTCATCGAGGTCATCAATAAAGATATTGAAGAGGACAGGCCCCAGCACCGACCCCTGCGGAACACCACTCACGACCGGTCGCCAGCTGGATTTGACTCCATTCACCACCACTCTCTGAGCCCGGCCCTCCAGCCAGCTCCTTACCCAGCCAAGAGTGTACCCATCCAAGCCTCTGGCTGCCAGCTTCTGCAGGAGAATGCTGTGGGAGACAGTGTCAAAGGCTTTGCTGAAGTCTAGGTAGACCACATCAACAGCCTTTCCTTCATCCACCAGATGGGTCACTAGATCATAGAAGGAGATCAGGTTGGTCAAACAGGACCTGCCCTTCATGAACCCATGCTGGCTAGGCCTGATCCCCCGGTCACCCTGCACATGCTGCATGATCTCCCTCAAGACGATCTGCTCCATAACCTTCCCTGGCACCGAGGTCAGGCTGACAGGCCTGTAGTTCCCCGGATCCTCCTTACGACCTTTCTTATAAATGGGAGTCACATTGGCAAGCAATATAAAACAAAATATGTTGAATCAAGCCAGTTTCTCGGTGGGTTAGGGGAAAAGGATACTACATTTATTTTATTTCTCCATTTATGTCCTGCTTCTTGCTTACAGGTATATGTATAGTACAAAAACAGACTTTTTTATTGCATAGATATTGAAATTTCACGTAATCTAGCCAGACACAAGAAAGTAACAGAATGAGTATATACTACTTACTGTGAAGACATCTTCACTGCCTCTCTGAAATAATTTTCCCTTCTCTCCATCAAGAAAAATAGGTCCTGAACTGCCGTGATCCCCATACAATATGATATAAACCTTTGAGCTTGTTCCTGCAGATGGCATATCACTGGTGAGGACTGACACCTTCCATTTCCTAGCTATCAAAAGATAAAAAGACTTGCTGAATTACTTCAGCTCAAGATTCCTAAGTAAAGTGTATTTCAGTAATCAGAATTCTAAATAATATCATGCCAAATATAAAAATATGTATTTCACAAAGATACAGCAAACATTGACTGTGCTAAGTTGTGCGCGTGAAAATCAAGAAATGTCAGGTTGCATTTACATCTTTTGTGTATGCATATGCTATATGACAAACTCAAATTGCATGACTGCATATCAGTTTTCAAACACAATATTTGAAATGTTGTACTAAATTGCAATAGGTCTTCCTGTTTGTTTAGGATATGTCAGCTCTATTCAGTGCAGTGCTGTGTAACGGCACCCTTGCAGGCTCTCAGCAAGTTACCTCTGGAATGACAAAACTCGTCGCTTCAAGCATTAAGGACTCTTAAGATACCTCTTCAAGAATGGAACTGTATGTCTGCAAAGCCATGCAGATGTAACAGCTCAGACAAAATTGCCCAATATGTCCTTGCATTGCAGTGTTGGCATTATACCCTGAGATATCAATACTCTTTCTGCAGGTTAATTTCTTTTTAACAAGACCAAGTATATGGATTTAGGCTTCGGTTTAGTGGAAGCTGAGTATCAAGAGCACGGAGTTAAGAGAAATGATATCCCTGAGGGGTGGCTGACAACAGTTTTTCATACTAACAGGGATATTAGGAAGGACTATTAAGAAGACATTCTCACCCCCAATACAGCTGATTCCCATCTCAAATGATGAACATTTAAGCACCTCTCAAGCTGATTAATATAGCTGTTTCTCAAAAAAGAACCTTCTTTAAAACACAACAGTAGCATTGAAGAGCTTTACTAATTACAGAAGGCCTGTGCCGCCTACACTACATTTTACTGATGTTACTTACTCTTCCATCACAGCATTCTCATCATATCCATTCCAGCTAAAACACTGAGAATTAAGATAGAAAGGGCATGACACAATGATTTTTTTTTTTTTCTTGACTGAGGTGCCTAAAATAGATCTATGTTCTTAAACTCCAGGCAATAAGAATTCCTACAATTCTGTTGCAAGATTCAGTGAAACCAATTTTGAGTATCACTCAGTTTTCGGAGTTAGCCATGCATACTTTCTTAAATAATTTAACAGACACTGATATATACAGAGGATAAAGCTACAGCAGGCTATTACTTGAGGACCAATGAAAAGCCTGATTTGAGGAATTTGCATTTAGTTTTCTATGGCATTCTAGAAAAAATAAGGTAGGATTAGTACCTTTATTAGCGCATGTTTAGCCATATCTAAAAGAAAAGTTGTTTAAGAAATAGATTAGGCTGACCTAGTCTAGGTGTGTGTGTCAATAAATTTCTGTCTGGGAAGTAAATGAGTTGAGAATCTACATCCTCCATACCACTTAGCGGCTATGTTTAAATTATTAATACTGCTTTTAATAAAAGGCAGAAGAAAATGCTCCGTAAAGACATATTATAAATTCTAACCTCTAATGAGGTCTGATGGTAGAATCTAAGAGTCCTGCTTATAGTCAAGCTTTTGCTATAAGCATTTTGTTCTGCATGGCCATTATGCTAGTACATAAATCACACATTCTCTGGGAATTGCAGTGGTGTAGAATTAGAAACTGTTAAAATTGATACTGTTCCCTAGACTTTGAGTGAAGAGTCAGGAAGTCATTAGCAGAGTCCTTGGTTCATCTTTGAGGACAAAACGCCCACTCCTGTAGTAGCAGAGTGAATATTTTTTACTGCAGTATCAAAGAAGCTTATAACTGCCACAAATCTTTTCACATATCTAAGCTATTTGCTAACAAAGACACATATATTAGCATCAGTTACACAAATAAGTCTTAGGAAATACTGTATAATACTGTAACACTGGATCTGTTGATTCTCCGCCTGAATAGCCCATTATCTTGAAATGATAGTAGTATCACTGAAGATCAGTGAGTTTGCAGAGTGTACTATCTGCTGGGATTTATGACACAAAAAACTTTCAACATCTAGAGCAATCAAGTACATTTTCTATATCCCAAGGCACTATGATGAAAACAATTGTATTTACTAGATAAATTATGATCATTCAAAATATGTAATACGGTCTTTGCAAACAGGAGTGTTCCAGTACTACTGGATACCAGACACTGATTATTCAGCTTTATCATAGTAATACTGCTGTAGCAACATCTGTAGCAGGTCAGTCTTACCATACAGAGAAGTTTAATTGTCAGCTCTCATAAGCATAAAACTACTTTTCTATAATTCTCTCTTTCCAAATAGCATTTCTCTACACATGTTCTACAACACTTCCTTTTAGTGGAAGACTAGCACTGACAACAGAACGGTTCTGAAGGTCAACTGTGTCCTTAAAATTTTACCCTGAGGACTAACTCTGATCTATGACCTATTTACTTAAAATTTGCTATATTTTTCTTTCCACTTAATCTGTCCTAGAGTAGTGTTCTGGTATTTACTTGTTTGTTTGAAAAATGCTTGTAGGTTTATGACCTAAAATGGTCTAAGTAGAAAGTTAAAATTGTAAAGATGGAGACAGAATATGAAAGAAGTTGTATTACTTAGGTGCAGGAATATGAAATATGTTATTATTACTGTAAATTTGGAGTGTACACCACTACCCAACTTTGAAGACATGACCTTGTAGCACTTCTCTGGAAAATACTGTAAGTATGCAGATATTGTATAAACAGTTATAAGTAATTATTTTGTCATTATTAAATAATGAACTGCCAAACAATTATTCTTACTATTAGATTAAACTTCATCCTTACAAGAATTGCCACAGCTTGAACACATTAAACCAGAAGTACATAAGTGCTAACTGCTAGGCCTGAGGAAGATAAATAATTCACAGAATCACATTTTCCAACAACTCTTCTTAAAGAACCTTCTTAAAAGTTGCAGCAATCTCCTTTGTTCACAGCTGAATTTAGCTTACTGCTTCTATTACCAAGGCAGTTATTTACTTTACTGAGGTTCCTGTGAGGTATGACAGGCATATTATTCTCACTTATAATTGACAAACTTGGATAAGTGTACACCATCTAAGTCCCTCTATGCAAGCATATCTAGTATAACAAGAATAGCACAGCTTTGCAGAAACCTGTTAAAGATACAGCCTGGAAAATGGATGAAGCGAAGAAAATAATGGAGAAAAGCAGGTATTCATTATTCCACTACATGATGTCTAAGAGAAAAATTTGAAAAGTTGGTCTTACAGAACGAAGAAATAATGGTTGTGTGACTGGAGTCCAAATGGAAACAGATGGCACAAAAAAACATATTACCAGGTCAAAAAAATATTAAAATAATAATGATAATAATAATAAAAAGAAAAAGAAAAGAATACCCTAGTTGCTAGAAGGTAATTTACATAATTTGGGGATATTTATGAAAATAGTACGCTCACCAGATATTCTTTATGTTAAAACAAACTGCTAAAACTACTGTTTGAACGAATAAATACCACTAACAGGCTGAAGACAATAATCAGCTAGAGGAAAACCAAATTATCCGAAATCCTAAAATAGACGTCAAAGGTAAAGTAAGATGATAAAAAAATCAACTGATTACTTCCACGTGTCGTGAAGAAGGGTTTGATATCTCGGAACGTATTCATGGAAAACATTCTCCTTTTGCCAGAGAGTGGCAAACGAATGTACCATAACGGCTAGCAAACATGGTTTCAAGTATTACGTAATGGAACTTGTTCATTCCCTACAGGCAGTTTTAATGCACATAAACAGAACATCCAATAAATGTAGAAAAAGGAATGAATAATATAGGATGTTGAACAGTAAAATGAAGGAAAGATGTAATATTGATGAAGGCACAAGTCAAGAAATCCAATTATTACTAGCACAAAACATGGATTTGCATATTCAGAGGTAACAGTGAAACTCAGTGAAGAAGCAAGCACAACTGGAGCATGGCTCTCAAAAGATAAGTGAGGTATGCAGCCTTCAGGAAAGCTACAAGACCACACATGGATAATAAGAAATGAAACAGAATCTGTTTGGATTTGGAACGGGATAGACAATGAAAGTCAAAATCAAAGGTGTATTATTAAGACACTACCTAATTTATGAGAATAAACACTATTAATACTGATAAATGCTATCTACTATTTCTACTAAATAGTAGAAAACACTTATTTCTAAGTGACAGAATCAGTATATCAAAACATTTTTTCCTCAAATAATCAACTACTGGGGAATATATATATTTTTTAATTAGACTATTTAGAAAGAGATGTAAAAAATATCCCTAAGATAAGAAATCATAAGCTGGTTCATTTTACATTAAAAGGGAAAAAACACACCCGTAGGCTTTGATTTTTAAATAGCAAATTTAAAAATATAAAAGAACGACTTAATTAAGTCAAATGTAATGAAAAGTGAAATGTAACAAAAGAAATTAAAACTAAATCACAAAAATGTTATATAACTGTACAGATTAAAAGAGAATAAACAGAGAAAGTCTGCATACACCGTGCACTGAATGCAAGAACTCAGAACTCAAGTTCTACCATCCAGCCAATTCCTTAATCGCTAAGTGATCCACGCATTCAATCCATGTCTCTTCAATTTAGATCAAAGATGCCACAAGAGACAAAATAATTCATCTTTGTATACAAGAAAAATTACAATAGTTCTAAAATGTCTGAATAGTGTAAGAGAAATTAGTATTCTAAAATGGAAATGTGCAAGAAGGCAGAGTAACTAACTAACTAACTAACTAAATGGGAGATTATAAAGTTGTACTGAAATGGGAGGTACTCATTTATAGGGATACTAGTAAATTACTCAGGAATCTATGCTCAGAATTATCTGGACTTCATATTTTCATCGATATTCTCCATAGCATAACTTCTGTAATATGGTTAGAGGATAAGAAAATCCAGAGTTTTACAAGGAACATACAACAGCATAAAATGTAAGGAAATGTGTTTTAAAAATACAATTAAGGCACAATGTT